ATTGTTGTCTCCTTTGTGCCTTGTTGACAGTTCTTTTATTTATATTTTTTGGTGCTGCCACAGTACTCCCCCCTAAGTGATGGAGTCACTGAATTTGGTTGGAAAGCGAACGTTGCGTCCTGATTTTGTCAGGTTAGCTGTTGTATTTGGTCGCACAGACTGGTCGCCATTAACGTTGTTTGGAGTGTGGTATACCATTGATTTGTTGTGGATGTCAATGTCTGTATCGGGACATATGAAAGCAGCTTTAAGACGATCTATGCTAACTGTTTGTTCTTTGTTTTCGATCAGTATTCTAAACGTCTTGTCATTTCGCTCTAGTATTTGGTAAGGACCATCGTAAGGTTGCGTCAATGGTGGTTTTACCTTGTCATTTCGTATAAATACATGCGTGGCTGAGCTTAGAGCCGGTTGGATGTGGTAGCCTCGGTCTATATGATGCGATACCAACGTTGCCTTGACGCTCTGCATTTGTTCTCTTAGCTTGGTTATGAAATCGTGTTGATTTATATTTCTGTGGCTAGGGTTGCTTACTATTTCGCCCGGTAAACGTAGAGTTTGGCCATATAGCATTTCAGCAGCAGAAGCTCCAATGTCTGGTTTAAAAGTCGTGCGTAGACCTAACAATACTATTGGTAAAACTTCTGTCCAAGAAGTTGTTTGGTGGCACATTAAGGCTGCTTTTAATGTGCGGTGAAATCGTTCCACCATTCCGTTACTTTGAGGATGGTAACTCGTAGTTCGTAAGTGTTTGCAACCGATAACTTCAGCTAGTTGGTTGAACAATGAAGATTCAAATTGTCTTCCTTGGTCTGTTGTGATACGTAAGGGTACGCCAAAACGTGCGATCCATTGAGTAATCAGTGCGTTTGCGATGGTTTCCGCTGTTTGATCTGGGATCGGAATTGCTTCTGGCCATCGGCTGAAACGGTCGATGATGGTTAATATATATGTGCAGTTGTTTGATGGTGGTAGCGGGCCGACGATATCTATGTTTATATGTTCGAATCTGTGTTCAGCGAGTTCATATTGACAAATAGGTGAACGGTTGTGACGTTGCACTTTAGAACGTTGGCATGGGATACATTGTCGGGTCCAGTTTCTGATATCAGCATTTATAGAAGGCCAGAAAAATTTTTCAGCTATCATTTTTGTTGTGCCCCGAATGCTGGGATGAGACAACCCATGCGTAGCTTTAAAGATATGTAGCCGGTATTTCTGCGGAATGTAAGGACGAATTCGCCCAGTTGAAACTTCGCAATAAATTTTATCTGATATTGTTGGTAAAGATAAAAGTTTGATTTCGATGGAATTGTTGTTTTTGATATCTTGTAGTTGTGGGCAACATCGTTGTAATCCAATTATACAATCGTAGTCGATTTTTGGGATGCTAATACTATCTATCCGCGAGAGAAAATCTGCTGGGATGTTGTCTTTTCCGCTGACATGAACGATATTCGTTGTAAATTGACCTATATAATCAAGCTGACGGACTTGACGTGGTGAAGCCTTGTCGGACTTTTGCTGGAATGCGAACGTGATTGGCTTGTGGTCAGTTATTAATACGAATTCACGACCTTCTAACATATGTCGAAAATGTTTTATGCCCTGATATGCGGCTAACAACTCACGATCGTATGTGCTGTATCGTTTTTGTGTATCTGTTAATCGTTTAGAGAAAAAACCGAGTGGTTGGAACGTGCTGTCTGTCACTTGGTGAAGAACTGCGCCGAGAGCTTTATCCGAGGCGTCTACTTGTAATGCAAGCGTAGCAGTTTTTGACGGATGAACAAGTAGTGTCGAGTTTGTTAGTTCATCTTTACATTTTTGGAAGATTGTTTTGTTCACTTCGGTCCAGCATAACGGTGTGTTGTCGTTCTTCTTGTTTCCTTTTATCATTTGTTGAAGTGCAGTTTGAGAATCTACAGCGTTTGGTATGAACCTGCGATAAAAGTTAAGTAATGCTAGAAATCTTCTTAATTCTTTTGTTTTTGTTGGAAGCGGGTACTCGCTGATGCTCTTCACTCGATCTGGTAGAGGTTGAATGCCCTTTTCACTGATGAGATAACCAAGAAATTTTACTGTGTTTTGAGCAAAAACGCATTTTGATACGTTTATTATTAAACCATGTTTTCTGAATCGTTCGAATACTTGTTGCAAGTGTTGCCTGTGCTCTTCCTCGTTTGCTGATGCAATAATGACGTCGTCAATATAGGCAAAGGCGAATTCGAGATCTCGTAATACTTCGTGAATGAAGCGTTGAAATGTTTGACCTGCATTGCAAAGTCCGAATGTCATGTTAGTAAATTCAAATAATCCAAATGGAGTTATGATCGCCGTTTTTGGAATATCTCCCGGTTCAACTGGTATCTGGTGATATGCCTTAATCAGGTCGATGGTTGAAAAAACTTTTTGGTTATATAACATGTGTGCAAAATCATGTATGTGAGGAACTGGGTAACGATCTGGGATGGTGATTGCATTTAAGCGACGGTAATCTCCGCAAGGTCTCCAACTACCGTCTGGTTTTTTTACCATATGTAAGGGGCTAGCCCAATTACTGCTTGATGGACGGCATATTCCGGCTGTGACTAAGTTTTGGAATTCTTCTTTTGCTGCTGCTAGCTTGTCTGGAGGTAACCTACGTGGTCTCTCACATATTGGTGGACCTTTTGTTAATATGTGGTGAGTGACTTTTGTCACCTGGCGATTTGTCGGTGTTGGTTTAGTGATGTCGATGTATTCTTTTAGTAGATCTGCAATTTTGCAAGATGTGTTCACAGTTGATATTTTTTTGCGCATTTACCTTACGTTCACTTGCGGCTGAGAAAATCTTTGTTGATGTGTCGATCAATCGTTTCATTTTTATGTCTACTATTAATCCGAAATGATTTAAAAAATCTGCACCGATGATTGAAGTGTTTACATCTGCGATAATAAATGGCCATGTGAAATTTCTTCGTAAGCCAAGAGCTAGAGTTATCTCTATTTCTCCAAATGTTTTGATCATAGAACCATTTGCTGCGTAGAGTATTCTTTCGTTCTTATTGTTTGTATTTGAATTTTTTTGTTTGGCGGCAATAAGTGAAACATCTGCACCCGTGTCTATTAGGAATGATTTTTTTGTCTTATTGTCATAGACGAACAGTCTTGTAGATGTTTCGTTTACAACTTCCTCTGCCGCCGTAGACGAAGTCGGTTTTAGTTTTTTGTGCCATATGTGCATGGCTGCTTGCAATTTTTTGCATTTGCCCCATATGTTCTATGATACCAACAATTTGTACTGGTCTTTTCTTCACTATCATCATGACATTGCCGGTTTCTGGATGTTGAACGTGAACGTTGATTTGTTCTTGAGCGGTGTTCGGTTGATAATTTCGAGACCATTTTCGTCAGTCTGGTCACTTCTCGTTGAAGTTGTTCGATTTGTGCATCACGTTGAAATTGAGCTGCTGCAGGGACGTTAGCTGCATTGACGTAAGTTCCTTGCATTGTTGAGTTTATACGGATTGTTTCGGTTATGTTGTCTGCCAATTCCGCCATCTTAGGTAGTTCCACTTGAATTGTGGCTAGACATGTCTGTACTTCTACAGGAAGACGTTGTAACCATAACCCTTTCAGTAATTGTTCGTCTTGTTTGCTTCCACTAATACGTTGCAATTCGCTTAAAAGATGGGATGGCTTTTTATCCCCAAGCTGTAAACCACTAACTAATTTTTGTATGCGTTTTTTTTCACTATCCGCAAAGTTTTTTATTATTGCTTGCTTGATAGCTTCGTACTTCTGAGTTGCTGGTGGATTCTGTATTGTGTTATAAATTTGTTCTAACAGCGATCCATCCAATGCTGCGATAACTGTGCCAAACTTTTGAGTATCGCCCTTTATGTTGTTGACTTGGAACCAGTAGTCCAACTGAATAAACCAAAGGTCAATGTTGTTTTTTATTAATGTTGGCATCGGCAGCTTTATTGCAGTGATTGTTGCGTTTTCATTGATTGGGTTAGTGTCTTCGGTTATCTTTTGCTCTTGAGTAGCCATTTTTTATATTCGGCGTCGGCTTGGTCACCAATGTAGTGGTTTTTTATGTTGGGGTTTATTTCGAATTTAACACTCCGTATGGGTAATGGATAAGTTAATTTAACACTCCGTATTGGTAATGGATAAGTTTATTTATTTCTTATACTTAGTTATTATAAAATATTCTTAAAGTTAAGATTTATGTTTTTACGTTTTATTCACGTGCTGCTTTTTCTTTTTCCAAACTACTACTGGCGGGAACTGCGGCTATTGTTGTCTCCTTTGTGCCTTGTTGACAGTTCTTTTATTTATATTTTTTGGTGCTGCCACATATTCATTCTTTCGTACAAAATCGATGTTGGAAATAATTAAGTGGAGAGGTGTGTGTTATTTTTAAATGGTTTTAATGTTGTAAATCGAAATATATTTAATAAGACATGTTATTTTTAGGAATAAAATCACGATTTGCTAGTTTTTTTAGTTGAGGATAAAGAAAAATCTTTATTTTAATTCCTTGATGATTTTTATACTTAAGTTCATCATTTGTTATTTGAAATTAATAAATACATTAATGACAGATTTTCCATTCTGTTTTCAAAGCAAATAAACCAGAATTAAAAATTTGTTAGCAATGTAATAGCACATTCACACTGTCTTATTAAGACAGTTTTACTAATTATAGCTACTGATGAGGATAATTTACTATACAACGAACTTTCATATAAATGAGCTTATTATCAATAAATCAGCTCATACTATAACCGCAACTTTCGACGACAAAACAAGACAAAATTCGTTAATAATATGATTGCAACCTCATTAATTTTATCACGTAATGAACTAATATCTTAAATCTGCTTCAACAATTATAATTCAAACAAATATTTTATTTCAGAAAATATATTTTTGCATCACGGCAACACTAGTTTTTTTCACATTGGTGACTCATCACAATCCAAATTTGCATTAGTGATTTCGTTTTCGGTTTACTGAGACGTGTAATCACACCGTTCGTTTCAAATTATTATTAAACATATATATTTATAATAAAATTAGAATATTCGTATGGGAGATTCTTTGGAGAACGCTGATACTTCGGTAGAAGTAACAGCGAATGTAACAATTGTGGATTATGGTGCATTTGCCAATTATATTCGCAAGGCTGTTACCATACTTTTACCCGAAGAAGATGTTGTACCACCAGCTTTAAATACAGCATTGGAAGATCCCGATAACCAGGATCGCGTGAAAAAATTCTTATCAGACCCACAAGTGCAAGCATTATATATACAACGCAATTGTCTTAAAGGTAAAGTTTGTATATAAGTTTTTCTTATGACTGAATTTGCACAAAGTATGGCCACCGCCCAACACAAAATGGCGATTGCACATGCTTTATCTTTATACTTAAAAGATAACAAACAGTGTTTATATATTATGCCAATTTAATTATGTGTAAGAAAAATTAAATTCAGTTACTAATATCATCAGTTAAATTTTTCTTATAAGAATGCATTTAATGATTTTCTTATAGGAAAATCAATACACTTGCAAATTTGACAACTGCCTGACGTCATCTTGCATACTTGTTTTGCTTGTCGTGGTTTTATTTTCATTTTCATTAATCTATTACAAAAATTCGTTAAAGTCTACTACAATATGTTAGCCGAGTTTTGTTTATACCGGCTTAATTTTGTTTATTTTTTTGCCGGCATAAATACACACAGCTGTTAGTATAATGTAAGCAAAAATCAGCTGATTGATGTTTATGTTTATATTGAAACGCAAAACAAACTGTATTTCCCGGTTCAATAGTACTTAAATGCGCAATGAGCACATGGGAACGTATGACCTTGTGCTATATCATTCAAAATGGCACTGAACATGACATTGATATCAAGGTTTCTCAATGCCATTCATTTGGTAGTGCGTTGTACTGAATTTTTATTCAAGGAGACGTTCAAGGTTTGCCCTTGTGTGCGAATTTGAACTTGGAATTAGAGGCGAATATTGTATGAAATATTCAATCATTTAATTATGCATATAAATAATATTATGAATATTAAAACTGAAATGGAATATTTTGTTATGCTGTTAATATAACAGTTCTCATTAAATCAATTATTAATAATTTCTTTTTTATTTCAGAGGATGAAAATGAACAACCGGCTGAAGGTGAAGAGGAGAAAGAACTCGTTACTTACCAAATTAGTAACGATGTGCACTTTACCAACAGTCGCATGGCCTCATTAGCATGTATTAAACGTGGTGCTGTAATTGAAGCCGACAAGTCAATACACTCACAGTTGCGTTTAATTAATTTTTCGGATGGTTCACCATACGAAACATTGCACGCTTTTATCAGTAAATCCTTGGCACCCTACTTCAAATCATATGTCAAGGAATCGGGGCGCGCTGATCGTGATGGCGATAAAATGGCTCCATCGGTCGAAAAAAAATTGGCTGAGTTGGAAATGGGTTTATTGCATTTACAACAAAATATTGATATACCAGAAATAACACTAACAGCTCATCCATCTGTAAATGCTGTTATTAGGAAATGCTCAGATGAAAATCGTAAAGCAAAAGTAGGAGACTTCGGTGATAAAGTTGAAGATTCTACTTTTCTAAATCAATTACAAAATGGTGTCAATCGTTGGATTAAAGAAATTAAGAAAGTTACCAAGCTCGACAGAGATCCATCATCTGGTACAGCTTTACAGGTAATTAAAAAAAAAATTTCTTTAAAAACAAAAATCAAAATAAAATATTTTTTTTTCTAGGAAGTATCATTTTGGCTTAATTTAGAGCGTGCACTTTATCGCATACAGGAAAAACGTGAATCACCAGAAGTCGCTCTTACTTTAGATATACTTAAACATGGTAAACGTTTTCATGCAACCGTTTCCTTTGATACAGACACTGGTCTGAAACAAGCTCTAGCTACAGTTGCTGATTATAATCCTTTAATGAAGGATTTTCCTATAAATGATTTACTTTCTGCTACAGAGTTAGAAAAAATCAGACCAGCAGTACAGCAGATTTTTTCACATTTACGTAAAGTACGCAATACTAAGTATCCTATACAACGTTGTCTTAAACTTATTGAAGCTATATCACGAGATCTTTCACAACAACTGCTCAAAGTACTCGGTACACGTCGTCTAATGCATATTCCATTCGATGAATTTGAACGAGTTATGAATCAATGTTTTGAAATATTCAGTTGTTGGGATGATGAATATGATAAACTGCAAGGACTATTGCGTGATATTGTCAAAAAGAAGCGTGATGAACATTTAAAAATGGTGTGGCGTGTTTCACCTGCTCATAAGAAACTTCAGACACGCATGGAACATATGCGTAAATTCCGCAGACAGCATGAGCAATTACGTACTGTCATATTACGTGTTTTACGTCCCAATAAACAATCACAAAATGATTCAAATGTTACTGAAACAAAGCAACCTTACAGTTTAGAAGCTGCAGATGCTAATGCAATTGAAGAAGTTAACTTAGCTTACGAAAATGTTAAAGAAGTTGACTGCTTGGATATAACCAAGGAAGGATCAGAAGCATGGGAAGCAGCAGTAAAACGTTATGAAGAAAGAATTGGTAAGCTTGCTATTCTCATAAGATGGTTTAATTTTTTAACGATTGTTGTTTTTTTTATTTAAGATCGCGTGGAAACTCGTATAACAGCACATTTACGTGATCAACTTGGCACAGCAAAAAATGCTAATGAAATGTTTCGAATTTTCTCGCGTTTCAATGCACTTTTTGTGCGTCCACATATTCGCGGTGCTATACGTGAATATCAAACACAGCTTATACAGCGTGTCAAGGATGATATCGAAGCTTTGCATGAAAAATTTAAAGTAATACATATTTTACAATAATTTTAAAAATATCACAACTAATTTATTTTTATTTTAAGGTTCAATATCCACAAAGTAAAAGTTGTCGTTTATCGTCGGTTAGAGACTTACCTCCAGTCGCTGGTTCTATAATATGGGCACGACAAATAGATAATCAATTGACTATGTACTTAAAACGTGTTGAAGATGTTTTAGGCAGAGGTTGGGAAACACACATTGAAGGACAGAAATTAAAAGCCGACGGTGATAGTTTTCGCAATAAACTTTCAATTTCTGAAGTTTTTCAGGATTGGGCACGTAAAGTACAAGAGCGTAATTTCGGTAGTACTGGGCGTATATTTACTATCGACTCAGTTCGATCGCGTACCGTACGAGCTAATGTACTTAGATTACGAGTCAATTTTCTTCCTGAAATCATTACTTTATCAAAAGAAGTGCGGAATATTAAAAATTTAGGCTTTAGGTAAGTAATTTTTTTTAATAATTAATTTATACATATGTATATATTTTTTGATTCTCTTAATAGAGTACCACTCACTATTGTGAACAAAGCTCATCAGGCAAACCAAATCTATCCTTATGCTATTTCACTGATTGAAAGTGTTCGTACTTATGAACGCACTCTGGAAAAGGTAATTTTTAAAATATAACTAATTTTAATAAATAAAACTATAGTCAATAGTTTATTGACTAAGTTTAATTAAAATGATACAAAAATATTAAATTTCAATGTTATAAATTATTTCTTTATACAAGTTTATACACGCTTATTTTACTACACGTACACTATTGCTTTTCACATATGGATTTTAATACTTTAAAAAAAAATTGCAAAGATATGCTTAAAATTTTATTGTTATTTATAGTTCTTCCACTTCCACTTTATTTTTTTTTTTTTTTTAAATTAACATTTGAACAGCTACAAAAGTCATTTTAATACGCAACTTATACACATTATAAATCACATTAGTATACCTGTCGTCACTTAACAATCCTTACAATAATCAACAAAATAAAATCAAAAAATATCAAAACCTTTTTTTCATGCAGCTAAATAATAGGAGTTTAGCACAAAATTTCGTATTTAAGGTAGCGTTGTTATTGTTATCGTGTAAATGTTACTATATTATATTATAAAAACAATAATAAATTAGTTACTGAGTTACTGCATGCTTCACTTTGTAGTTAGTTTCATTAAAAAAAATCTGTGGTATATAAATATTAATAATTCTTAAATATTTGTAATATAGATCGAAGAACGTGCTAGTATTGTGCCACTCGTTGCTGGTCTGCGCAAAGAAGTGCTCAACTTAATATCTGAAGGAATCGGTTTAGTTTGGGAATCTTACAAGTTAGATCCATATGTCTTACGCTTATCTGATTGTGTTACCCAATTTCAAGAAAAGGTAGTATTTATTATAAAAATTTTATACTAATTAAAGCATATAAAATTTTTAAAGGTTGAAGATTTACTAGTTGTTGAAGAACAGCTAGATGTTGACGTACGGTCTCTGGAAACATGTCCTTACAGTGCAGCAACATTTGCTGAAATATTGGCTAAAATACAAAATGCAGTGGACGATTTATCTTTACGTCAATATTCAAATTTGAATGTTTGGGTTGGTCGTTTGGATGAAGAAGTCGAAAAGAAACTTGCAATGCGTTTACAAGCTGGTATACAAGCATGGACTGAAGCTCTAACTGGCCACAAAAAGGAAGTTGACTTATCTATGGATACAGATGCTCCGGCACAACCTACACATAAACTAGGTGGAGAACCACAGGTACACAAAAGAAAACAACATTCGAACTATAATAATTAATATTTTTTTCTATTTTTTAGATACAAAATGCAGTTCATGAAATTCGTATAACTAATCAACAAATGTATTTGTATCCTTCGATTGAAGAAGCTTGCTTCCAAATAATGCAACAACTTTTTGCTTGGCAAGCAATTGTAACCTCCCAAATTCGTCTACAAAGTTCTCGTTACCAAGTTGGTCTGGATAAACCCGTTTCACAAACATATCGTAATTTGTTAACCAAATTGCCAAATGGTAAAATTTTAGAGAGCGCTTATGAAGCTATTGAGAACAAAATCAGTGAAGTTAGAAGCTATGTAGAAGAATGGTTGCGTTATCAAAGTTTGTGGGATTTACAACAAGATACACTATACGGTCGCTTGGGTGAAGATGTCAATTTATGGATTAAATGTTTGAATGATATAAAAAAATCACGTACAACATTTGACACTTCAGATACACGTCGTGCTTATGGTCCAATTATTATTGATTATGCAAAAGTGCAAGCTAAAGTTACATTAAAATATGATTCATGGCATAAAGAAGCTTTGGGTAAATTCGGTTCATTACTCGGTAATGAAATGACAACTTTCCATGCCAAGGTTTCTAAATCTCGTACAGATTTAGAAATGCAGAGTATAGGTAATAATATATTAATGTATGTAAAATACTTAAACTTCAATTGAAATTGTTTATCTCACAGAGGCTGCCAGTACTTCAGATGCTGTAAGCTTCATAACATACGTACAATCATTGAAAAAGGATATGCTTGTATGGGATAATCAAGTTGAGGTATTTCGTGAAGCACAGCGTATACTTGAACGTCAACGTTTTCAGTTTCCAAACAATTGGTTACACGTTGATAATATCGAAGGTGAATGGTCTGCATTCAATGAAATTATCAAACGCAAAGATACAGCTATACAAACTCAAGTTGCTAGCCTGCAAGCCAAAATTGTGGCAGAAGATAAGGCAGTTGAAACACGTACTGTTGATTTCTTAAATGATTGGGAAAAGAATAAACCAACTGGAGGTAAAATACGTCCCGATGATGCTCTACAACAACTTCAAATGTTTGAAAGCAAATATTCACGTTTAAAGGAAGAACGTGACAATGTGGCTAAAGCCAAAGAAGCGCTCGAATTGCAAGAGTCAGCTATTCCGAACAACAGTTCAGAACGCATGGGTGTCGCGTTGGAAGAATTACAAGATTTACGTGGTGTTTGGGGTGAGTTGTCTAAGGTTTGGACTCAAATCGATGAAACAAGGTTAGTACAATTAATAAATAAATTTTTAATGTGTTTGAGTCTAAATATTTGTTTTCTTCAGGGAAAAACCATGGCTCTCTATTCAGCCACGTAAGTTACGTCAGCAATTGGAAGCAATGATGTCTCAATTAAAGGAATTACCAGCGCGTTTACGCATGTACGAATCATATGAATATGTCAAGAAGCTTATTCAAAGCTATATCAAAGTAAACATGCTTATTGTGGAATTAAAATCTGATGCATTAAAAGAACGCCATTGGAAGCAATTGACTAAGCAATTACGTGTTAATTGGGTACTCTCTGACTTAAATTTGGGTCAAGTATGGGATGTTAATTTGCAGAAAAATGAAGTAATTGTCAAGGATATAATACTTGTTGCACAAGGTGAAATGGCTTTGGAAGAGTTTTTGAAACAAGTGCGTGAATCTTGGCAGACATATGAACTAGATTTAATAAACTACCAAAATAAGTGCCGCATTATACGTGGTTGGGATGACTTATTTAATAAAGTCAAGGAACATATTAATTCCGTAGCTGCTATGAAACTATCACCATACTACAAAGTATTTGAGGAGGAAGCACTTACTTGGGAGGAAAAACTTAATCGTATAAATGCTTTATTTGACGTATGGATTGATGTGCAGCGTCGTTGGGTTTATTTGGAAGGCATATTTTCTGGTAGCGCTGATATTAAAACCTTATTGCCAGTGGAAACTTCTCGCTTCCAAAGTATTAGTTCGGAATTTTTGGGTTTAATGAAAAAAGTTACAAAATCACCCAAAGTTATGGATGTACTTAATATACCAGCAGTTCAACGTTCACTGGAGAGACTTGCTGACTTACTGGGTAAAATACAGAAAGCGCTTGGTGAATATCTTGAACGGGAACGTACTTCATTTCCTCGTTTCTACTTTGTTGGTGATGAGGATCTTTTGGAAATTATTGGCAATAGCAAAAACATTGCTCGTTTACAAAAACATTTTAAAAAAATGTTTGCTGGTGTAGCAGCCATCCTACTTAATGAGGATAATACAATCATTTTGGGTATTTCTTCGCGTGAAGGCGAAGAAGTAAAGTTTATTAATCCAGTTTCGACTGTTGAACATCCAAAAATTAACGAGTGGCTTTCACTGGTTGAAAAACAAATGCGTTTCACTCTAGCTTCTCTTTTAGCACAAGCTGTACAAGATATAAAACAATTCCGTGATGGTAAAATAGATCCACAAAAATATATGGAATGGTGCGATAAGTACCAAGCGCAGATTGTTGTTCTAGCAGCTCAAATTCTCTGGTCAGAAGATGTCGAAGCTGGTCTACAACAAGCATCAGAAAACAACAATTCAAAACCAATGCAACGAGTTTTAGCTACCGTAGAATCTACACTTAATGTATTGGCTGATTCGGTATTACAAGAACAGCCACCACTCCGCAGACGCAAATTAGAGCACTTGGTAAATATTCCAAATTTATAATGAACTAATCTATTTATTCTTATCTAATGTTTGCTTTTTCATTAAGATTAATGAATTTGTGCATAAACGCACAGTTACTCGCCGTTTGATTGCTAATGGTGTTACAAGTCCCAAATCCTTCCAATGGCTATGTGAAATGCGTTTCTATTTTGATCCACGTCAGACTGAGGTAAAGCAATGCATTTAAAATTTTAATAATAAATATTATTTGGTATATTTATTAGGTTTTACAACAACTCACCATTCACATGGCTAACGCTCGTTTCTTCTACGGCTTTGAATATTTGGGTGTACAAGATCGTCTTGTACAAACTCCACTTACGGATCGTTGTTATTTAACCATGACACAAGCTCTGGAATCACGTCTTGGTGGTTCACCATTCGGTCCAGCTGGTACAGGCAAAACTGAATCAGTAAAAGCCTTAGGCAATCAGTTAGGCCGTTTTGTGCTTGTGTTTAATTGTGACGAAACATTTGATTTCCAAGCTATGGGTCGTATTTTTGTTGGTTTATGTCAAGTAGGTGCATGGGGTTGCTTTGATGAATTCAATCGTCTCGAAGAGCGTATGTTGTCTGCATGCTCACAACAAATTCAAACCATTCAGGAAGCGCTTAAATATGAAATGGACAGTAATAAGGAGAGTATAACAGTTGAGCTTGTGGGCAAGCAAGTGCGTGTTTCGCCTGACATGGCAATATTTATCACAATGAATCCAGGCTATGCTGGACGTTCAAACTTACCAGATAACTTGAAAAAATTATTCCGATCACTTGCTATGACCACACCAGATCGTCAACTTATTGCCGAAGTTATGTTGTTTTCACAAGGTTTCCGCTCAGCAGAAAAATTGGCTTGCAAAATTGTACCATTCTTTAAATTATGTGATGAACAATTATCTAATCAAAGTCACTACGATTTCGGTTTGCGTGCACTCAAATCTGTTTTAATATCTGCTGGTAATGTCAAGCGTGACCGCATCATGAAAATTAAAGAAACTCTTCGTCAACGCGGTGAGGAAAATTTTGATGAAGCTTCCGTAGCTGAAAATTTGCCTGAACAAGAAATTCTAATACAATCTGTGTGCGAAACTATGGTACCAAAATTGGTCGCTGAAGATATTCCACTTTTGTTTTCATTGCTTAGTGATGTCTTCCCGAATGTCGGTTATACTAGAGCTGAAATGAAAGGACTTAAAGAGGAAATACGAAAAGTTTGCCAAGAGGACTACTTGGTTTGTGGTGAAGGTGACGAGCAAGGCGCTGCCTGGATGGAAAAGGTATCTTTAAGAATTTCGTATTAATGGTTTACCTTCCACATTCACCTAACTACTAATTATTTCATATTAGTGTATTATGGAACCAAAGAAAGCAATGTATTATGTTTAAAAAGCTAATTAATGCTTAGAATATGCAACATTTAAGTTTTTAGTTTTAATTGCTTCCTTTGTTTCACATTAATTGTACAATTAGAAATCATTTATTAATCCCTAACTTCATATTAAATTCTTATTTTTTTCAATTCAATTCAAAACTATTTTAACCAATTCGCAAAACTTGATTAAACACTGAATAAAAAGGGATTCGGTGAAACATGGGTTGAAAAAGTAAGATTATCACTCTTCTATAATATATATTCTTTACTTTTTTTTATTTAATCCAAAAGCAAGTTTCTATATAATAACACAGACATTATATTGTTTAATTATACTAAAATAAGATTTAGTATAATTAGATTATAGATTATAAAAGTAAGAGATATTAATTTTAAAAATTGCAAACAATAATTGAATTAATTATTAATTATCCTTAAGTGCAAACTTGCTTTTGTGTAATTTTTTTTTAATTTTGTTGAATTCATTACATTGATCACAATTCTTATTTTTTAAAAGGTTTTACAATTGTACCAAATTTCCAACCTCAACCATGGTCTTATGATGGTGGGTCCATCTGGATCTGGTAAGTCTACTGCTTGGCGCACACTCCTAAAAGCACTTGAGCGTTTCGAAGGCGTTGAAGGTGTTGCACATGTTATTGATCCAAAAGCCATTTCGAAAGAAGCATTATATGGTGTTATGGATCCTAACACACGCGAATGGACTGATGGTCTTTTCACGCATATACTTCGTAAAATTATTGATAACGTACGTGGTGAAATAAATAAACGACAATGGATTATATTTGATGGCGATGTAGATCCTGAATGGGTTGAAAATTTGAATTCAGTATTGGATGATAATAAATTATTAACTTTACCTAATGGAGAACGTCTTTCTCTTCCACCTAATGTCCGCATAATGTTTGAGGTACAGGATCTTAAATTTGCCACCTTAGCTACCGTTTCGCGTTGCGGTATGGTTTGGTTCTCAGAAGATGTGCTCTCTACTGAAATGATATTTGAGAATTATTTATCACGACTCCGTAGCATTCCATTGGAAGATGGAGATGATGACTTCACCGGTATGGTTAAACCTGCTGCATCTAAAGATAAAGAGGATGAGGTTTCTCCATCATTACAAGTTCAGCGAGACATTGCATTACTTTTACAACCTTACTTTTCGTCTGATGGCATTGTAGTGCGCAGTTTAGAATACGCAATGGAGCAAGAACATATAATGGACTTTACGCGTTTGCGAGCTCTAAGCTCACTTTTTTCAATGTTAAATCAAGCAGCAAGGTTGTTATTGTATTTTCAAAAATATTTACGTAAATAATATAAATTGATATTTCCAGAAATGTTTTAAATTTCAACTCTCAACATCCTGATTTTCCTTGCTCAGCTGATCAACTAGAACATTATATACCTAAAGCACTGGTCTATTCTGTACTTTGGTCATTCGCTGGCGATGCTAAATTAAAAGTACGCACCGATTTAGGTGATTTTGTTCGTAGCGTTACTACTATACCTTTGCCTGGTGTTACTGGTGTGCCTATTATTGATTACGAAGTTAGCATGAATGGGGAATGGGCGCCGTGGTCCAATAAAGTACCAGTCATTGAAGTTGAAACTCACAAAGTAGCTTCGCCAGATATTGTTGTTCCTACACTGGATACTGTTCGCCATGAATCTTTGCTTTACACTTGGTTAGCTGAGCACAAACCTTTAGGTATGTTGTGAATATTGTATATATTTTTATTGTAATAATATTTTAACTAATAAACAAAATTTTTATCTTAAGTTTTATGCGGTCCCCCTGGTTCTGGTAAGACTATGACACTATTCTCAGCCTTGCGTGCACTTCCTGACATGGAAGTAGTAGGTTTAAATTTTTCATCTGCTACTACGCCTGAACTACTTCTTAAGACCTTCGATCATTATTGTGAATACCGCAAAACACCAAATGGTGTTGTATTATCACCAGTACAGGTATGTTTATAAAGATCATTACTCTAAGTTGTCTGTAATATTCAACAATTTTTAGATTGGAAAATGGTTGGTATTATTCTGCGATGAAATCAATTTACCTGACATGGACACTTATGGTACACAACGTGTTATTTCATTTTTGCGACAATTGGTAGAGCATAAAGGATTTTATCGTGCCAGCGATCAAGCTTGGGTTTCACTTGAACGTATACAATTTGTTGGTGCTTGTAATCCACCGACTGATCCCGGTCGTAAACCACTATCTCATCGTTTCTTACGTCATGTTCCGATTATATACGTTGATTATCCTGGCGAAACATCTCTTAAACAAATTTATGGCACTTTCTCACGTGCTATGTTACGTTTAATGCCATCATTACGTGGTTATGCTGAACCACTCACCAACGCTATGGTCGAATTTTATTTGGCATCACAAGATCGATTTACACAAGATATGCAACCTCATTATGTGTATTCACCACGTGAAATGACACGTTGGGTACGTGGTATTTGTGAAGCAATAAGACCACTTGATTCATTACCAGTAGAAGGCTTAGTAAGATTGTGGGCACATGAAGCACTGCGTTTATTCCAAGTAAATTTTGTTTATAATGTATTTAAAATTTTTTCATTATTAATGAAAATTTTGATCAAATAGGATCGTCTGGTTGAGGAATCGGAACGCCGTTGGACAAATGAAAATATTGATATAGTCGCTGTGAAACATTTCCCGAGCATCAATCAAGAAGAAGCACTTACACGTCCTATACTTTACAGTAATTGGTTGTCAAAGGATTATATGCCTGTCAATCGTGAAGAATTGCGTGATTATGTACGCGCACGTCTTAAGGTCTTCTATGAAGAAGAATTGGATGTGCCACTTGTATTGTTTGATGAAGTTTTGGAGCATGTGCTGCGTATTGATCGTATTTTCCGTCAGCCACAAGGTCATCTATTACTTATTGGTGTGTCAGGTGCTGGCAAAACTACGCTTTCGCGTTTTGTTGCATGGATGAATGGTTTATCAATCTTCCAAATTAAAGTGCATAATAAATACACCAGTGAAGATTTTGATGAAGATTTACGTTGTGTATTGAGACGTTCTGGGTGTAAAGATGAAAAAATTGCTTTTATTTTGGATGAATCGAATGTGCTGGATTCCGGTTTCTTAGAACGAATGAATACTCTGTTAGCTAACGGTGAAGTTCCTGGTCTGTTTGAGGGAGATGAGTATACTACTTTAATGACTCAATGCAAAGAAGGTGCACAGAGAGAAGGTTTAATGTTAGACTCTAGCGATGAACTTTACAAGTGGTGAGTTTAAACGAGGAATTTAATAAAACAATATTTTCCTAATTTTCGTCATATATATGCAAAAATAAATAAAACCTTTTTATAGTTTTATTTATAATAATTTACAAAACAAATGTTATAAAATTAATTATAATGCTTATTTAATTAGGTTTACACAACAAGTTATGCGTAATTTACATGTGGTATTTACAATGAATCCATCAACTGATGGATTAAAAGATCGAGCTGCTACTTCACCAGCTTTATTCAATCGTTGTGTACTTAACTGGTTTGGCGATTGGTCTGATTCTGCTCTCTTCCAAGTGGGCAAAGAATTCACTACGCGTGTTGATTTAGAAAAACCTACCTGGACTCCACCAGACTTCTTCCCATCGGTTTGCCCATTGGTTCCAGCTAATCCAAACCATCGTGATGCCGTTATTAACAGTTGCGTTTATGTACATCAAACTTTACATCAAGCAAATGCACGTCTAGCTAAACGAGGTGGACGTACAATGGCTGTCACACCTCGACACTACTTAGATTTCATTCATCATTTCGTTAAATTATATAACGAAAAACGTAGTGATTTAGAAGAACAACAACTGCATTTGAATGTTGGTCTCAACAAAATCGCTGAAACTGTCGAGCAAGTAGAAGAGATGCAAAAATCATTAGCTGTAAAGAAACAAGAATTACAAGCTAAGAACGAGGCAGCTAATGCTAAACTTAAACAAATGTTCAAGGATCAACAAGAAGCAGAGAAGAAAAAGATACAATCACAGGAGATACAAATTAAACTAGCGGATCAAACGGTTAAGATTGAAGAAAAACGTAAATATGTCATGGCTGACTTAGCTCAAGTAGAACCAGCAGTTATAGAAGCACAACAAGGTATGTTTTATGTTAGATTTAATTATAGAAGTGTATACTTAAGCTATATGAATGTAAGTTAAGTTTTATAATATACAAAAAATGTTGAACAAATTTAGTTTAGTTAGATTTTTATGCAAAAAAAAAAATTTATAATTTATTTGGAATTGTTCCTTATTATTTTAATATAAGGATCGCTATTGATAAACATTTAAATTAAGAATATATTTTTAACTTATCACATATATTTTGTAAATTAATTTATGTATTTAAAACACCATTGAATATTATCGTTACACCATAGCTGTTAGTTCTATTAAAAAGAAACACTTGGCTGAAGTACGTTCCATGGCCAATCCTCCAGCAGTTGTTAAATTAGCTTTGGAATCGGTATGCGAGCTGCTAAATGAAACCGCAACCGATTGGAAGGCAATACGTGGCATCATTGTCAAAGATGGTTTCATCTCGTCAATTGTTAATTTGGAAACAGACAAGATCACGTACGGCAAACACTTTATAATTTTTGTTTCATATATCAAAACCATCATTTCATATGCAAACTCAAAATTGATAAAGAAAAAAATATATCACAACAAAATTGTAACTACCACCACCACTACCATTATTATACATCAATCCATTAACGAATTGGCTTAACTCTCAGTATACATATTTAAGTAAATAACAATTTATTCTATTCTAAAAATTGTTATTAATGAATTGAAATTAAAGAATTGGTGTAAAACTAAATATAAATATATACATAAATATATACATATCCATAAAATTCGCATCTTACACAAGAAATAGCTCTATTAATCCAACAACACACCTAGTACACACTTTGCATTCGCTAAGCACCATTTGTACTTACATACACAGCGGATCTCCTAATGCAGCAGCAACTTTTTATATCTAATTTAATTTTTGTATTATATTATTTTATAAGGTACTTGTAATAACTTTCTTTTTATAACAATTATTGTAAAAACTCATCATTTCAACCATATTGATTCTTTTAAAACTGTAATATAATAATCATTTTTTAAGCTTAATTTAATTTTAATATTAGATAATAATAGCTGATTAGTTTTAATTTTTAGATATAGATTTTATTTTTTAAATATTAATTTTAAGGAAACAAAGGTATAAATACTCAAGTTAGTTAAAAATTTTATATTCTTATGTTTCATTACTTTTACTAAAATATTTAAAAATAATTAGTTATGTATGAGACTTCTTAAAATCTCTTAAATAGTTAAAAAAAATGGATTGCGTAGCTTCCCAAAGTCAAGTATAATCATATTCTTCTAGTAACACATGCAGGACATTTAGAATATTACAATCTTATTCGTCTATCTGCTGAATTTATTGATCGCAATTCTATAATATGCATCTGTGTAAAAACTATTTATATTTCCCTGAAATAGTATTCTTTAACGATTATGTTAAAACTTAATTAATTTTATTTATATACGCTTAGGCTATTAATTTGTACGGCAGCTAAACTTTCAGGTCATATATCGACCCTTCTGTTACAATAAATTCTGTATTAAATAAGAATGTACATAAACTTATTTGAAACTAAATCAGATAGTAAATGAATAATTTTTTACTATAAGTTATCATATAGCAACGTATGGTAATTAATCCTACTAAATGATAATTTCAAGATAATTTTACTATTTACAATATTCACAATATCGAGTAGCGAACTCGGGAATCGAGTTACAAAAAAACATTTGCTAGAAATTTGTTTTCTAGTCAGTGTCGCTTTGTACTGTTACTACAATACTTTGGAGTGAAACTAACTGTCTCTCCGTGTTAACCCTTTTCTTAACCCACACTTGTCCTAACATATAAATTCGTGTTATAATTCTTTTCATTTTTCCTCTTGAGTAAATCAGCTCAAAGTATAACAGTAACAACTAACTTACTCAGTTACTTAATCCGTTACTCAAGATTGTAAATTTGAATAAACGAATTTTGTTGTTGCCGCTTTACTATGTTATATTACTCTGAATAGTCTATGATAATAGTGAAACTATCCTCATTCCTCTCTTATCTCATACAGCCCTACCTATTTTTCTTCACTCAACTACAACGTTCGTTTCTCAAACATTTATGATTATGCATTCAAATAAATGTTTGTGATATTTTATTTGATTTACCATTAATATACATTGTAACATACTGGGTTACTCAAGAACCGAGCTTGTTACTTATAGTTGCAAACACAATTATTGTCTACATAAAAAATCATATTTTTTCCAGAAAAGGAAGATAACACTTACATCCTTAATTTAATATATAGTCTTGTATATTGTAGCAAACAGGAGAATATTAACTTTTAAAATATATATATTATAAATAATAATAGTATTATACTAGTAATATTGTCCATTTCACCCAATATATGTTTATAATAATAATAATATACTATTTTATTATTACTATATTAATATAATATAAAAAATATAATAGTAATAAATATATTTATAATATATAATAAATACATATAATATTTTTATAATATATGTATTATAAATAATAATACTATTACTATTGTTTATTTCACCCAATATATGTTAATAATAATAATATTGTACTATTTTATTATTACTATATTAATATAATATAAAAAATATAATAATAATAAATATATTTATAACATATAACATTATATTATATATTATAAATAATCCGTAAAATCTATTACTATCTAAAACACTTACGCCCTGTGCGAGTTCGAGTAAATTGATGGTAAATTGAGAGAAATAGTCAATTATGTTATGTCGGTAAGGCATAATGTTGGTATTTACCAGAATTTTAAGTAGGGTAAATTAGATAAAAATTAGGTAAATTAGGTGTTACCATTGTGAAAATTGTATAAGATGCTTAATAAATAAATAAATAAATTTGAAAACTTTTAACCATAAATAATAAATAAGTGCAATAAATAAATAAATAAATAAACACTGTAGTGCAAAAAATCCCTACGAAATTTCAATTTACTCGAACTCTCACACGGCCATAATATATTTTAATTATAATTTCTTTTTATAATCCAAATTTTTAATGACCGTTATTTTAATAATCACAATAAAAAAAATTTTAAGAGTTTTTACAATAATTGTGTTATATATGTAAATAAAATAAGATTAACATACAATATTAATATATTACAATATATTCATATAATTTAACAGTAATATTGGTAAAGTATAGTCATATATGATATGAATTTAGGTATATGCAAAAATAGTGACTAAATTAAAAAAATTAAGTTAACTAATTTTATAAATTCGATGTTTTGTCTTAACGTGTTACTAAAAATAATGTAAAAATTTGTAAAATTACTACTTTACTACCAATTTAGCTGTTAAATCAATTCGTAAGCAACAACTTGTTGAGGTGAGAACAATGGCTAATCCACCATCCGTGGTGAAATTGGCACTTGAATCGATATGCTTGTTACTCGGCGAAAATGCAACCGATTGGAAATCGATTCGTGCCGTTATTATGAGAGAAAACTTTATAAATTCAATTGTTTCTAACTTCGGTACTGAAAATATAACGTAAGCATGAAATTTCGTTTTCTTTTAAAAAATTAAGGTTTGATTTTATTGTTCTTGTAATTCGTTAAATAATTATTTTTTTTTTATTAGCTTTTCAGTTTGATAAACTCCTGAGTTGTTCATTTTTTAAATTATTTTTTCGTTTCGTTAAAAGTAGTGAGATATGATGCAAAGTACATTTTTTATGTTGTAAATTTTATTTATTTTTTTAAATTGATATATAATTTGAAATAATTATTTACAATAAGTTATTTTATATTTGGTAAAATTTTGACTTTTTGGTTGTGGTTTTAATTTTTAAATTAACTGAATTAGCTTTAATATGCTTTGCTCGCTTTTCATCCACCTTATTCGCTCGTTTAGCCAATCATTTATAAATTGCATATTTAATAATTTAATACTAATGATAATAATCATTTTTTTTTTTAATAATTTAACTGTAGCGATGAAGTACGTGAAAAGATGAAGTCCAAATATTTGAGTAATCCTGACTATAACTTCGAAAAGGTGAACCGTGCAAGTATGGCTTGCGGACCTATGGTTAAATGGGCTATTGCACAAGTAAGTTATATGTTACATATTTATTACTATAATAATTATACATGTCAATAAGTTGATAATGTACATTCATATAATCGTTGTAATAAATACTTACATTCACATTCATAACTGTAAATCATAACCAATCAGTAGTTATCCAAAATTTTTAAATTTAAAGATCTACATCACTATAAAAATATATATATATAGGAAGATATAAAAATCTTCCTTTGCGAAAACATACGTACACTCTTCACTATCTATTAGTTTGAATTTTTTTTTAAATAATGTTATTAATAACAATAAAACAATTTAAAACAAACAATACACTGAAGATGGTTTACGAAGTATACCGAAGTATCTGTAATATAATTAATTTTTGTTAATTTTTTTTTCCCGAGTGTGATGGGTCTTTATGACGAAAAGAAACTATTTAAAAGTTAGACGGATTCGAATAGCAAAAAAAGAACAAGGACAAAAAATTTTTTTAATTTATTGAAATTTGGCTGACCATACAACGCTGTTTCGAGTATTCCCAAGTACTCATCATCTATTAGCTATTATGTGGTCTTAGGAAATATGCTAATTTCTTAATTTATAGTCCGTATATAATTTGTTTGAACTGCAAGTTTTATATAAATTCAGATACAATTAATTATTTAACACAAATATATAAGTTTAATATTTTATTAAAAAGAAAAAAACATTTTTAATTTTTATGTGTTAAATTAACGACCTAAGCGTAGTAATAATAATTTAATAATTCAAGTTATAGCACTCTTAAGCAAACAGCTTCTTTTCTGTTTCTGACCTAATTTATAAACACAACAGTTCAAAATTTCACTAACAAAATCATCGCGTTCTCATTTCTTCAAATTACATTTAAATTCTCAAGTTCTGAGATCTCTTACTTCTCTAATATAGAACATTGTCTCCTAACATTAGGATACAATAGACATTCGCCTGATATCTCTGAGAATTAAAGACGTCCCCTTCGGATAACAAGAACTGTCCTTTCTCAACTAAGTTCAAGATAAAGTCACATGCTAAACAGTTACTTGTTACGCATAAATACATACATGTTGCCACAACTACAGATTCGAGCCCTATTACATTATGGATCCACCTCATTGAGATGTATTTTTAACCTATATTCAGATTAGACACAACGTCCCTATCCATTTATTCATTATTACTTTAACCTTTCACCATAACACTTTTGTCTTCCCATATCATTGTGCGGTGTGTGTTGTATACTTACTTTCAGATTGGCAAGAAGAACAATCATTGCCTTTTAATTAATACTAACATACCCGTTAGTTTACTTTATTATTTTATTTATATATGTATTCAAATTGTAATATCTTTTTATAATCTTTGTTTTCTTAAATAAATTATCAGATTGAATATGCCGATATGTTGAAACGTGTTGAGCCATTGCGTGAGGAGTTACGCTCTTTAGAAGAACAAGCTGAAGTAAACAAACAAAATGCGAAGGAAACAAAAGATTTGGTTGAGCAATTGGAACGCAGTATTGCTGCCTACAAAGAAGAATATGCACAACTTATATCTCAAGCTCAAGCTATTAAAACTGATTTAGAAAATGTGCAAGCCAAGGTAGATCGTTCTATTGCATTGTTGAAGAGTTTGAATATTGAACGAGAACGTTGGGAATCTACCAGTGAAACGTTTAAATCTCAAATGTCAACGATAATTGGCGACGTTTTGTTATCAGCTGCATTTATAGCTTATGGTAAGACTTGAATATCCTAATGATATACTCATATAGTTATACTTTATCACTTTTTTTTTCTTCAACAGGTGGATACTTTGATCAACATTATCGTTTGAATCTATTTACAACTTGGAGTCAACATCTTCAATCTGCTAACATACAATACCGTGGTGATATTGCACGTACGGAATATCTTTCTAATCCCGATGAGCGTTTACGTTGGCAGGCAAATGCCTTACCTTCTGATGATTTGTGTACTGAAAATGCAATTATGCTGAAACGTTTCAATCGTTATCCACTTATTATTGATCCATCCGGACAGGCTACTACTTTCTTACTCAATGAATATGCCGGAAAGAAAATAACAAAAACATCATTTTTGGATGATTCATTCCGTAAAAATTTGGAATCTGCTTTGCGTTTTGGTAATCCATTGTTAGTGCAAGATGTCGAAAATTATGATCCAATTTTGAATCCCGTACTTAATCGTGAATTGCGACGCACTGGAGGACGTGTACTGATTACACTTGGTGATCAAGATATTGATTTATCACCATCATTTGTTATATTCCTTTCAACACGCGATCCAACTGTAGAGTTCCCACCAGATATTTGTTCTCGTGTAACATTTGTCAATTTCACTGTTACACGTAGTTCATTACAATCACAATGTCTTAATCAAGTACTCAAAGCTGAACGTCCCGATATAGATGAGAAACGTTCTGATCTATTGAAATTACAAGGTGAATTCCGTTTACGCTTACGCCAGCTTGAAAAGAGTCTGTTACAGGCACTCAATGATGCTAAGGGTAAAATTCTTGATGATAATTCGGTTATTACTACATTAGAAACTCTTAAGCGAGAAGCATATGAAATTAATCAAAAAGTCGATGAAACCGATAAAGTTATTGCAGAAATTGAGACGGTATCTCAACAATACCTGCCGTTGTCAGTGGCTTGTAGTAATATCTATTTCACAATGGATAGCTTAAACCAAGTTCACTTCCTTTATCAGTATTCTTTGAAAATGTTTTTGGATATATTCTCTACAGTGCTCTATAACAATAATAAATTAGATGGCAAATCTGACCATTCTGAACGTCTAAGTATTGTCACAAAAGACCTATTCCAAGTAAGTTACATTCATGTTATGTATATTTTTAAAGTAATTATTGAATTCATTTTTCATTAAGGTTTGCTATGAACGAGTTGCACGTGGTATGTTGCATGCTGATCGTCTTACTTTTGCATTGTTAATGTGCAAAATTCATCTTAAGGGTACATCAGAACCTAATCTGGACAATGAATTCAATTTCTTTTTGCGTAGTCGTGAAGGCTTATTACCAAATCCCGTTGTGGTTGATGGCCTTTCATCGGAACAAATCGAAGGTGTCAACCGTTTGGCAACTCGCCTTCCTACATTCCGCAAACTGATTGATAAACTTAAATCAATGCCAGAAATGGTTGCTTGGTTACAACAAAGTTCTCCAGAACAATGTGTACCACAGTTGTGGGATGAGTCTAAAGCTCTTTCACCTGTTGCAAGTTCTATACATCAGTTATTATTAATACAAGCATTCCGACCGGATCGCGTAATTGCAGCAGCACATGAAGTTGTCAATACTGTTTTAGGCACCGAATATATGCCAACAGCTGAAAATGAATTAGAATTTGCAGCCGTTGTAGAAAAACAACTTAACTGCAATACTCCAGCTCTTTTATGCTCTGTACCCGGTTTTGACGCATCTGGTCGTGTGGATGATTTAGCTGCGGAATTAAACAAACAAATTTCAAGTATCGCAATTGGTTCTGCTGAGGGCTTCAATCAAGCTGAGCGTGCTATCAATATGGCATGTAAGAGTGGCCGCTGGGTTCTTCTTAAGAATGTTCATTTAGCACCACAATGGCTGGTACAATTAGAAAAGAAATTACATTCTTTGCAACCACATTCTGGTTTCAGATTGTTCTTGACTATGGAAATAAATCCCAAAGTACCGGTGAACTTACTTCGAGCTGGACGTATATTTGTATTTGAACCACCACCAGGTATTTTCAGTTATTTCCAATACAGTGGCTTCGCGAGCATAACTAATGCCTGAGGCCCTTTAGCTTTTTGGCGCCTCCGGAAAATATAATATATGGAATTTGCATGTATTGAAGATTATTAGATGTCATGGTGCCTAACGCATTAGAGACTCTCACTAAGCCACTGTTTCAATGTTTATTTTATACAAGTGGACTGCATAAAGTACACGAGTATACAATATATTATAATCTTAAATAATTTATATATATTAAACTATTATTTTCCTTTAAGGTATACGCGCAAACTTGCTTCGCACATTCTCTACTGTGCCAGCGGCACGTATGATGAAAGCTCCAAGTGAGCGTGCACGTCTTTACTTCCTTTTGGCTTGGTTCCATGCTATCGTCCAAGAACGTTTACGTTATGTACCACTGGGTTGGGCAAAGAAATATGAGTTTAATGAATCTGATTTGCGTGTAGCATGCGATACCTTGGATACTTGGATTGATACAACAGCTATGAGTCGTACTAATTTACCACCAGAGAAGGTACCATGGGATGCATTAGTTACACTGCTGTCACAATCAATTTATGGTGGCAAGATTGATAATGATTTCGATCAACGTCTGCTTACTTCATTCTTGAAAAAACTTTTTACTGCACGTAGTTTTGAAGCCGATTTTGCTCTAGTTGCCAATGTAGATGGCGGAGCAGCCGGTCAACGTCATATTACTATGCCCGATGGAACACGTCGTGATCATTTCCTTAAGTGGATTGAAAATTTGACAGATCGTCAAACACCATCTTGGCTTGGTTTACCAAATAATGCAGAGAAAGTTTTATTGACTACCCGAGGAACAGATCTTGTTAGCAAGCTACTTAAAATGCAACAGTTGGAGGATGATGATGAGTTGGCCTATAGTGTTGAAGAAAGTAATGAAGCAGCTGCAGCTACTCAACGCAATGAAGATGGTCGTCCATCATGGATGAAGACCTTGCATAATTCCGCTACTACTTGGCTTGAATTATTACCTAAAAATCTGCAAGTGCTTAAACGGACGGTAGAAAATATTAAAGATCCGTTATATCGTTACTTTGAACGTGAAGTTACATCTGGCGCTAGACTTTTACAAACTGTAATATCAGATTTGCAGGATGTTGTACTAATTTGTCAAGGCGAAAAGAAACAAACTAATCATCATCGTTCTATGTTGTCTGAATTGGTACGAGGTATAATTCCAAAGGGTTGGAAGCGTTACACCGTGCCCATAGGTTGTACTGTTATACAATGGATCACTGATTTTAGCAATCGTGTAAAACAATTGCAAAAAGTATCGCAACTCGTCTCCCAAGCAGGTGCTAAGGAACTGCAAGTAAGTTAAAATGTTATTATTATATATTTTTTAATTTATGTTTCAAAACATTTTAACATAAATTCGTAGAATAATTTCAAGTCAGTTGCAATGCTCATAAGAAAATTAATGGTATCAAATTTTTTTAATTTTCAAATTTTAATTATATGAAGTAGAATGAAATAGATAACTGAATTATTTATATTCAATTTTCTTTTATAGGGATTTCCTGTATGGCTCGGCGGCTTGTTAAATCCGGAAGCGTACATAACAGCAACCCGTCAATGTGTTGCACAGGCAAATAGTTGGTCATTAGAAGAATTGGCTTTAGAAGTTACGATCGCCGAATCTGGAGTTAGTACTGATCAGAAAGATAGCAGTTTTGGTGTAACTGGTCTTAAGCTGCAAGGAGCACAATGCAAAAATAATGAGCTTTTACTCGCATCTACAATAATGATGGATATCTCGTTAACATTGTTGAAATGGGTGAAGTAAGTAAAATTAACTGCAATCATACTTTTACCAGAAATATTTATTATTCAAATTTCATTTCATTTTAGAATTACAAATGATCCACGTATAAGTAAACTAACATTACCTGTCTACCTAAACTCAACACGTACCGAATTGCTGTTTACAGTCGATTTGGCGGTTGCTGCTGGACAGGACCCACATAGCTTTTATGAACGCGGTGTTGCAGTATTGACTTCAACCGCTTTGAATTAAAACAATATTATTGCCTATTTCATTTTTTTTTTTAATTATTCAATTATTAAATATTAATATCTTGCTTATTATAGATATATTAATCAAATATTATACTGAATCATATTACAAATGAATATACTCAATATCAATATTAATCTGTTTGAAATAAATGTATGGATTTAAAGAATTTAAATATTGTTTAAATATTATAACAAATAGTTGTCATATGGTACATTAGATAGATTAAAAAAGTATTATTTGTATTAGAATCTTTGATATATCTAGTTAGTATAAATTTATTTCTTTGTTGCAACGCATACAGCAATTAATACTCTTCGCTGAAAATTTTAAAATGTAGAAATGTTATATATAAGGTACTTTATACTGCAGATACACACCAATTTACAGCCACGTATTAGCTAACAATGATCTGCCTAACCAACATACGAACCAATAACAATGCTTTGAGCTGGCTTAATGTGGAATACAGAAATGAAACCTATATGGTGCTGTAGGGTACAAAAAAACACCGAATAGAATCGGAAGTGAAAAGATAAAATAACATTTTTTTAACAAATAAATAGTAAACAAATCAATTACTTTCATTTGTGATCCAGAATGTTTCAGCAAAAAAGTTCCAGATATTTGTTCGCTGAAGTGCAACTTATGTTGTATATGGTTACAGATAATGTGGATTCTAATAAACTAATTTTGATGATTTTTAAGAAATATAAAATCCTTTAATATAACTCAAATAACTTGGAATAGTATAACAATCACTATAATATATTAATATATATCTTAACATATACAGATTGGTATACATTTCAAAATTATAATAATAAACTTTAATAAATCATTAACTCTTAAAGAACCAATTTTTTACTAAGGAAAATATTTTCTAGTTCCTCGGCATTATGTTAAACAAAAACAGAACAGTGACCTCAGATATAACACTTTAAGGAAAATGAATTTGTAACAAACTTAAACTTAAAATATAGAACCACTTTTCCTGAACTATTCGGAAAGAAACTCTCAAATTACAGGAATTACAGAAAGATTTCTTGAAATTTGTTTTTCATAAGCTATGTGTAAGGACGGACTATAGAAGAAGCTAAAAAATACCTTTTAATAAATAAAAATAAAAATAAAAATACCTTTTAAGAACGATACATGGGGATCCATCCCCATATTAGTATCCCCATATTACTATTTTTCTAAAACAAATGTTTTTGGTCAATTGTGGTCAATTAGAACAACTTGACCCCTTTTAGCAGGTAACCTCTCTGAAGCAAAAGTTGTCTGCCATTCAGTACCCGCTTGAAATTATTTTCTATTTAATTTATTATTTATTTATTTAATTTATTTTTCTATTTAACAGAAAAAAAATTTAATATTAATATAAATAGGATAATAAATCCACACAATTTTAATGGTTAAAATATATGATTTTTTAAAGATTAGATGTGGGCTATATTGCTACAAATTCTAAGAGATTGGAATCAATATTATTTTGTTTTAACATATATTATATTGCAATTATATAGTTATTTTATTTACGAGTACATATATCCTTACACCGTTTCATATAAAAAATCACATACTGGTATAATAATAAAATTTTAAACAAAAATTAAATTTTTAACAATTTTTTATAAACGCAAGTTAATTAAAATATTTAAAGTAATTTTACTCAAAGGATAATAAGGATATTGGCTCTAATAAAAATATTTTCAAGGTCAAATCACAAACTTCAGAAAATTGAATGCCAATGTCATATGGTTCCATGGTGTAATGGTTAGCACTCTGGACTCTGAATCCAGCGATCCGAGTTCAAATCTCGGTGGGACCTGAAAGAATTCATTTTTTGTGGAATTATTTTTAATAGTATTTTTAAATTTTAGTTATTTTTGTATAAATAATTTAAAGAAAAAAACATTAGCAGCAGTGACATGATATCCTTCGTCTCTAAAACTAACGTGATATAAACATGACATTTTTATTAGAAAAACAAGAAATATATGTCATACATAAATGTAGAAGGACGAAGACCAAAAAGCTAGTCTTTGCTTTCTTTTCAGTATAACAATAAGTATATTATAAGAAACTATTTTAAATAAATAAATAAAATACTCTTTGTAGCGCGTATCTTTGTTAATTATACAATCTTGGCAATCGGCATAAAAATGCATATTATTTAAAACTGGTTATATGCCTAATATTATTTTTCACCTACTGAAGCTGTGGAACTGTAAGATATAATATTGAACTTAATATTAATTATTAATTTTACAAAATTCTTAACATCGTTTATAAAAGTAATTAAGTCATACATTAAAAAAGTGATCATTTTAAATTGTTCTATTAAATTGAAAAAAATACATAATGCTAAGTAAACTCTTTCACTTTACTCATTCATGCAGGTATTAAAATAAACAAAAGTCAAAGTGTCAGCTATCAGCACCAAAAAATGTTAAAAAAAAAATAATAATAAAAATAATTTTTTTCAAAGAGTAACAATCTTACTAAATTTCTGTGAAATTTCTCTGTATAAAATGTTCAATATAAAAAATATATTAATTAACTGCATTTAAAATACACAATAAAAATAGATAAAATGTTCTATAGTAAAATATACATAATTGCAACAATATGCATTTGAATTAATATGCCGTTTTTTTGTAAAAAGTGCCAACTAACTGCACTAAAAATAGGGAATAAAAAAAATGTGTTAAAAAATATTTGCAAAAAATAGATAATATGAATCATAAACTTATATTAAATTTTCAATATTTTTTGTTTATATTGATTTATTTAGATAGAGTGCAGTAGTATATCATCTGTATTCAATTTTATAGCATTCTAAAACCACAACGTATCTATGCGCAATACTGATCAAATACACTATAATAGTCTGAAAAATTTTTTCATTATATTCATTTAAAAAATTTACTAATTTAATTTAATTTAATTTAATTTGAAATAGTTTTTAAATTGATATTAGGTCTGTATACACAAGTGCGTTCCCCTAGCAAATTTTCGAGTAAACAAGAGCATCTGAGAGACCGTAACATCTCTGTCGAAATTTGAAAATGTTACGCAGACTTTACTCGTACATTTAATTTCGAGTAAAATTTGTGTTGATGTGTGAATCAGCTGTTTTAGTTTGAATTTACGCGACACTGGTGTTCTCATCAGACTTTACGCGCTCAGTTTGTACTTTACTTGTGTTTTACTTGAGTTCTACTACGAGTAACTCGTAGAACAGACCTAATGTAATTAATGAATTATTGCAAATTCTAAGAGCTAATAAAATCAATATGCCAACAGATGCAAGAACATTAAAAAGCATTCCTAAAGAATTGGTTACAAGGGAAATGGGAGAAAGAAGATATGTATGTTACGGCATTAAGCATGCACTGATCGATTAAGTTTCATAATTATATTACTATATTGTATTCTATTTATTAGAGGATTATATTAATATTAACATTAAGTTAGCAGTAAGAAATACTAAACTATTTTTAATATTATTATTTATCTTATTATTTAATTTTATTATTTTATTTTATTTTATAAATACAATTTACTATAACTATATATTAATATTTAGTAATATTGTATTTAATATCAATAAATCAACAATTTCAACCTTAACTTTTTTAAGTTTTATTTTCGTTATTTCAATGTTTTCGATATTTTGCAGAACGCAACGTTACTCTGAGATACATATAGAAGAGTAAGTTTTTATGCTTCTCTGCGATGCATATGGAAAAGTAAGTTATTCACTTCTCTGTGATGCATACGAAATGCATATGAAAGAGTAAGTTTTCTCACTTCTCTGTGATGCATACACGGTGCATAAGAAGAGTAATTTGTTACAATTCTACGCGACTAGCGGATTAACGAACAACTTCTCACGACTAAAGCGACTCTTAGACGCTCTCTTCCGCACTTAGATTGCTCAGTATTATAATTTCAGAAAGATTCTTCCGCCACTGAAAATGTTTGCTGGGAAACATTGATTAAGGAATTTCATTGTCTTTGCTTGTATGCGAAGCATTTGGTAATCGTATTGAACTTGTGTTGTTTGTCTTATGTCTTATGCTGTTATATTATTTCTTTTTCTCTTTCTAACTTAAGAGGATCTTTTTTAGAGTGAATTTTCTTTTAACATTGAACTTTTAATATTTATGTTTATACAAAAGTTGTTTACAAAATTTTTTATGTAGATATATTCTTAGGTTTTTTAGTACTACTAGCTGACACTTATTTGTTGTCCTATATTCTTAATCCAGTTTTTTCGTGTAATTAGCTAGTAATTTAAGTGCTATGTAGTTCCTGGCGTAGCAAGAATTGTGTAAAGGAAAGGTTACTAAGCAATTTTTTTTTGTCGTAGTATTTTTGCAATATATTATCTGTAGTTTATATAGTCAGTAATGGTTCTATTCCTTAATCCCTTTACCTCCCACTTGAATACGCTACTGGATATAATTTGAACTTAGACTTCATGCGTCCTTAAATTAGGACGGATTAGGGACGATTTGTTTTGTGGCATTAATACAATTTATAAATCAATTCATATAATGTATTTGCTATTTTTAAACTGAGTGGACAATTTAGTGTTGTTATAAGAGTTTATTTAGTAATATTAATATTTTCAATTTTTAACTTACTTAAGTAATAATATTTTATTTTCTGACACTACATTTTTTTAAATTTAATCATATGTATTATTTTATTTATAAATTTTTTTAAATTAATAAATTCAATTATTTCTTGTTTTTTTTGTTTAAATAGAAAACATTTTTTGTTGGGTATTAAGAAATGAATATTTCTCTCTTAGCTCTTTTAGAATATTCTCATTTTGTTGCAACATGCGCATTTAAGATCTAAAGAAAACAATAAGAGCATTTGTCACTGCACATATAACAAGGTTCCATGGTGTAATGGTTAGCACTCTGGACTCTGAATCCAGCGATCCGAGTTCAAATCTCGGTGGAACCTGATTTATTTTTATAAAAATATTTTTTATTATATTAATAATTTGTACATTTTTTTTTAATTTTCTGCAGATAAATGAAAATACTAATGTGCTTTTTATTTTCACTTATCTCATTTATCATTCACAAATACTTATTTAAACTATTAATATATGCTTATACTACTACACCCAGCTTTTTATTTTCTAGCCTGACCCCAAAGACTTGTTACTATATAATTTCTTTAAAATATGATGTTTGTTTTGATTTGTCTCTACTTAAACTGTAATTTAAACTCTACCCTACTTTTAAACTTCTTTTTAACTCTACTTAAAGTGTCGCTTGGATATATAAGATACAGTACTTTTAGTGTTCAGTGTAGAGAGATTTTTGTGCTTTTATCGAGAAAGTCACTAGTAAAGTGTAAACAGTGTTATTATAGAGATAATTTGATCGATTTTGAAATTTAAATTATGTTGATATTTATTTCGTTTTTATATATATTATGTTGATATTGACAATGTTACGATATATTTAAATTGTTTCCAAATTGTATTCTCCGATACCATAAAGTATTCTTTAGTACATACAAATCTGTAAGTAAGAAATTCCTGAGTTGAAATTTTTGTTTTATACTCCAAAATTTGGGGTACTTCTATGTTTAGGACGTTTTTTTTTAAATGACAATAACATTGTGATAATAAATCTTTATCTTATACGTTATGTTATGTTAATCCTTTTCCGAGTTAGTGCATCTGGGCACTTTTACTCTATGACAGCTGGGGGGATTCTGCACAGTCCCGCCCATCTCACTGACTAATTTGAGTATTACTGATAATCTTCGTGATTATTGAATGATTGATCTAAGATCGGCGTACCGCACCGTGCGGTTAGTGATTACTCTAAGATTAGATAGTGATAATTAGGGCAGCCTGTCTGTTTTCGCATATAGCTTCAGAGCTCTGTCCCTTACGTATTTTTTGACCGGATCTATTCTAAGGTCTCTTAGCGTGTCATTCTTGCGGATGTACCATGGTATTTTGAAGAGCCTTCGGAGAGCCTGACTTTGAGAAACTTGTAGCTTTTGGATAGTAGAGTGTACGTAAATTCATAAATGTAGTGATTTAAAAAGTATTAATTTGGGATTTTCAGATCACGTGTTCCAGAAATTTATTCTATTTCTAGAACATAGGGTGCTGAACAATTTATATATATGGTATAAATATTAACTTACTCAATTATTCAAATACAAAATCAATTATTTGATTTGTTTAATTGTTTTAATTTTAATATTTTATATTTAAAATTGAATATTAAAATTAAATATTGTAGAAAATAGCTTTTTTTAGCATGTTTAATAGTAAATATTAATATTAAAAATTTAATACTTTAATGCCATTTTCTCCAAAACCCAAAACCGCATCCATTATAAAAAATCCATCTTTTGGGAAATTGATGTTGAAATCCATGTACATATCATTTTGGATTATGTGCCTTTAGCAAAAGGTAGACACAATATGCTTAATAACACAAAGTTGCAAAAGGGGAGAACCATAAACTTGATAGAATAAAGACTAGATGATAAGATAAACACTTAGATTAAGATGCATAGGATAAGAAAAAAGTAAGAGTGAATTCTAGTTAAAATTTACTAACTAAAGCCCAATTAACTTGACGGTTGGGCTCCGTCAAGATGAAGGAGCCTAACCACTTTTATGGGATGGCGCTATAAATCAATAGAGTTCAAATTATTGATAAAACAGATGGAAGACGCCATGAAAAATAGAACTCCAGTTAAAATACAAATTGAGAATAAAAATATTTTTATATAACAAGTAACTGACTTTAATTGGGCAAGGATAGTTTTTACTGTATTAAGAAGTTTTCTTTTATTAAGGTAAATTTTTTCTTGCCGATAATGGCGTGTCTTTTTATGACGAAAGAAACTATTTAAAAGTTAGACCGATTCGAATAGCAAAGAAAGGCAAAGACAAAAGTTTTTTATTTAATTTATTGAAATTTGGCTGACCATACAACGCTGTTTCGAGTATTGCCAAGTACTCTTCATCAGTGGTCTTTGGAAATAATCGAATTTTTATTTAATTAGTTTATAGTCCGTATATAATTTGTTTGGACTGCAAGTGCCAGGCTTAGAACTCGTGCCTGTCAAATTAGAAGCGATGACTAATCGTCTTTATCCACAAGAAGCCAAGGCTGCACAAACATTCAATGCTCAAGTTCCAGGTTTTATTGACACTTATTTTTATTTAATTAGTGACACCAACCAAAGCACTTGCCGTGCTTTAAATTAGAACGAGCTTATAAACTACAGCTTTATTTGGAAACACAAGTTCAACAATTTGAAAGTTAATCTTTGAGCTTGCCTATTTTTGTTTCAAAGCTATTCTTTTTGTAGAGACATCTGATATGCATATTTTTTTAACTTACTATATGTAAAGCGCCTTTTTTGGGTGCAATTTTACAAAGAAGCTATGCAAATGTTTCTCTACAAGTTCGCTAATCGCGTTAAGGAAAAGCTGAACAATATTATTGTTCATATTTCCTATAATTCTAATTTTTAAGGTAAATTTTTTTTCTTTTTTTTGCCGATAATGGCGTGTCTTTTTATGACGAAAGAAACTATTTAAAAGTTAGACCGATTCGAATAGCAAAGAAAGGCAAAACAAAAATTTTTTATTTAATTTATTGAAATTTGGCTGACCATACAACGCTGTTTCGAGTATTGCCAAGTACTCTTCATCAGTGGTCTTTGGAAATAATCGAATTTTATTTAATTAGTTTATAGTCCGTATATAATTTGTTGGACTGCAAGTGCCAGGCTTAGAACTCGTTTTCTTTTATTGTTAGAGACTTTAGGCCTAGGCTTATGGAAAACTTTTTTTTCTGTAGATAGACAACTAAAATCACAATGTGAGAATTTAATACACTAAAACAAACTATTAGGTTTCATTTATTAAAATATATATAGCATGTTAACTATTAAGGTATTGCACTCCTTTTAAGGTAGCGGAGAACCTCAAAAGAACCTTACCAGTAAAGAACTGGTATTTAAACAGCAATATCAGACTCGATAATTTTAAGTTTACGTTTTAAGAGAGCGGGATTAGATTATAGCGAATGGTTTATGATACCGTCACCATGAATTAGACATAAACTGCTGTCAGCGTGGACACACCAAAAAAGCTGTTTGGTGCAAATAATATGACCACTAATCAAATTTGTAGAAAGAAACCCACACAAAAAGCCATATGGAAATAATTAAATTTTTTTGTTAGAATATTAAAATTTATTTATCGCATACGATAATTATTTTTCTTAATTTAACATATATATATATAAAATATTCAAAGCCAATCTATATTAGTACTCTTACAACATATATTTAACGTTTCAAATTAATAAACATTAGCTAACATATTGTGACAATAAAATACATATCACAACAAAATTTAAAAGTAAAGATTTTAAATGTATATTTACAAAAAATAATAATAATAAAAAATATATTTATATACAAAAATTTTAAATTTAATTTAATCTTCATTGTTATCGTTTTCATTTTGTTGCAGTTGAATTTTGCGATTTTGAAACCTAATACATTTAGGACATAACATTTTTTTTCGCGTCAGACAAACTCGGTGATATATTGAATTACATTTATCACAAATTATGCAACCATCATCAAATGGATATATGACCTCACAATTGCTGCAAATTTCACATATATAAGCTTTAGCTGTACACATGGAACAATTACGTATATGGCGATTAAAATTGTTAAAGACTTTTGACAAAAATTCCATTAGAGTACCATTTTCAGTTTCTTCTAAATCGTGTATTGAATAAAATTCATTGGATTGTATTAAATGACGTCGGATACCTTTAAATAAACAATAATAAACAATGATTAAATTTAACAAATGTATATATATAATATTGCTAGATTTTTATTTATACCAATTTGATTGTCTATTAGTTTTTCCTCCATTGCCAGTCGGCACTCAATTAAATATTTACGCATATAAACTAAGTTCTGGCGAATTTTTTTTATGGTACATAGCTTCTCCAAGAAAACAAATAATTTTGGATTTGCCTCTTCTAGTTTAACCAGTGGTTTGTCAAGAAATAAATTAATTTCTTGCAGGGAAGCACGTGATACTTTACGTGGTGCGAAGTCCCAATTATGTATAACTCGTGCTGGTATAATGCTATTATCATTCCAATGACACGGCGGACAATAATATAAGCCATTATAATCACACAGGCGTGGTTCGATCCAAGCATGCTCTATAAAGAATATAATTTATAATAAAACCTTTAAAGCGTATTTTTGTTTATTAAAGTTAGCCAAATTAGGAAATGAAAGTTATAGAGTTAAAAGAAAATGAAAGTAAAAAAAGCCATCAGCGAAAAAAAATTAAAGCAATAATTAATAGTTTCTAAAATTGCTAAATCTATTGATAGGATAGTGCTCATGAAGAATATATATAATTATTGATAAAGACAATTATATGAATAGACAGCCACAATATATCCAATCATAATTCATTCATTAAGATATCCGAATTAGTACAACATTTTTGAACATTTTTGGTATATAATAAAGGATTTTTCATTTGTTATCGCTTTAGGTTCAACAAAATAAATAAATAAAGTTGGATAAAAAGTTGATGTTTTATTTTCTTCACTTGTAATGAGTTAAAAAATTTATACATATATATATTTATAATTTTAACGATTGTTCGAACTTATAGCGATACTTATTAAACGTATTCAACACTTCAAATAGAAAATGAAGTCTTACCAATGTTACATAAACATTTATGATACTAAGACCACTTAAAGAAAATTATTAAATTTATTTTTGATATTAAAGACGTCTTCTGTAACATTTAAGACAAAAATTCAATTTATTTTATATCATTTTTTGTTCATATTCATACTAAAAGTGGGGAATATTGTGGTAAAGATATTTCTAAGAAAATATTTTATATTTATGTTGTTGTTATTGTAGCCCGCCGGGACCTGAAAAGCAGACAACATGTAATGATTAAAAAATGAATGTAAGGGTAGGGGATAGAATTAATCAACCGGGGTCCAGCCGTAGAGACTTAGCTACCTCTCGGGGATGAGTTCAAAGGTCGATTGGACTTAAATTAGTGTGTGCAGTGGAACAAGAGAACAGGTGGGCGAAGTCATGAGGGTACAGCTGTAGTTTGGGCACACGTGGACGCGTTCATGCGTGACAAGTAACTGTTCAGCACATGGCTATATCCTAATCTCAAGTGAGCTAGGACAGTTCTTGCTGCACGGGGGAGACGATTCTATATAATTATAATTATTGGTATCGGTCTTAATTGTTTATTATAAAATTAGTATTAGTGTGTTTACATACTTTTTTTTATTTAAATATATAAACAAAAACTAAATTAAACACTGCCAAAAAAAAACTTTTAAAATATTATAAAAAATATTTTGAATATTAAGAACAATTATTGTATGTTTAAGTAGTGACGCATAATTGTGTAGTTTGTTTTTATAAATAATGACTAAATTTATTTTTTATATGGTTTTATACGATTTTTATAAGATCTGCTTTTACTCAAGATTTCCTTTTTAGTATAAAGTTATTCTAAAAAAACTGTATTTTTCTTTATATCTAAATGGTTTTTACAACCATTATATATTAATATGTTGATCACTATTGAATATAATGTTTAGTTTCCGGATGATGATTTTAGACTAAAATCAAAATATCAATAAAATAAAAATTATTATAAAATAAATAATGGTCTCTTAATTTTGATTTTTAACAACAAGAAAAAATTTAACGAATTAGTCTGCAAAAACACTTTATCGAGATGTTTTCTTAATAAAATAAATATAATAATTACAAATAAAACTGACAAATTGTTTATTAAATTTGAAGGTCTCTACAATAACTAAATTCTTCGTTTTATATATATTTTTAATTTTTTGCACCGGAATTTATTAAACAATAATTAAGGGACTATGTGGCTCTAATTAAATAATAAATAAATTTTAAAATTTACATATAATATAGATACATATATTAAAAAGTGAGATTTATACATTATTAAACAATATTGCAAAATCGAGTTAAATAGTTTGCTATGATATATAAAATTAAATTAATTAGGATCAAAATATACTGTAATTTTGCAATAATTTTAAAGTGGTGGAATATAAATGAAAGGCCATGGTGTTGTGGAAGGAGCATTACAAACAATGACAATGATACTAATTTACAAAAATAAAAAAAGAAGCACTTAAGTCTTAAAGTTTAAATTTGTAAGTGCTATGCAATGCTAACGTTGTTATTTTAAACAATGAAAAAGCAAATAATAATAGTAACTAATAGAACACACTACTATTTTTATGCAATTTATGAGCGCAATTAACTTTAAAAAATACCATTTTTAGCTTTCTGGCCAAAACACGTCACAGACGTTGGCATAGCTTAAAAATAAAATAAAATGCATGAACAAAATATAATTAGCGTATGAAAAAATTATTTGAAACTTACTAAAATTTAATAATGTAGCACATTCGGCGCACTTATAACGTTGAGCCGCTAAACCGATTTCGGGACATATTTCAGCAATTGGATACTGACGTTCTGAAGCTATCACATGAGCACATATACGTATAACACTATCTACACATTTTTGATGTGCCAAATAATTGCAATCACTGCAGATATAAGACGTTTGTACAACACTCCATATTATACCAGTACAAAAATCACAATAATAGCGTACGGCACGACGAGTTCGTTGATGTACCACAAAATGGTGTCCCACTACAGTTTTGACTGTAGAAAATGTTTCATTTGGACCAGCTTGCGCTTCTTGTAACTCTTTAAGTGCATAACGTAAGTCTACCAAATGCCGTACCAACCAGCGACGTTCATCACTACATTCTTCGCTTAATAATACTAAATCTCGACAATGAGCAATTGCTGCTTCCAAATCTTGTGCATTTGCATCTGATGAAAATATTAAACGCCATTGCTCTTTCACTAATGAGGCTGGTATGGGCAGCGATTTATCATTGTGAACTGTGTTTGAACTATTGATAGTCTCTTCAGTTGTTGATGTTGAAGGCGTTGGAGTTGATCTGGTGGGTGTTGTTTGGCCTTGCAAGTAACTGGAAGCAGTTGATGCACTCTCACTAATAAAATTTGTCACTGCTCCAGGTATACTTGCTATACTATCTCTGAAAGTGCTCATTTTTTAATTTGAACACATCTCTTGTTCGTAAAAATATAAAAAGATTATGTTTTCATACACAACAAATGTTAAACAAAGAATTCCAGCTGACGTTATCAATTTCTTTGCCAAATGTCAAACTATTATGGCGTAGAATAGTGAAGCCGGCAATAACGACACTTTAAGTACACTGCACTTTTTAATTTCAATTATACGCATAGATATATGCAAATTAATATAATATAGGCGTAAATAGCACATTCACGCTATCTCATTGATGTGGTTTTGCTTATTAAGGCCCGTAATGCGGATTACTTACCAAACAAAGTGCTTTCATATTAACGAGCTCATTATAAATAAATTAAAATCTTAAAAACAAAATATTAATTTCGTCTTCGTTTCAGCGAAATTAATTCGGTTTTTCCATACAAAATTCAGTTTCAATGTTAGAACGAAATTAAGGAAAATGATCTTAATTTTGTTGAAACCAAGACTGCAAATTAAGAGAAATTTCGAATGCAACTATGCGAAAGATAAACTTTAAGCAAAAAATAAATTGAGATAACGAAAAAGGGACACATTTTTTAAAAACAGACTGTAATAAAACCGGGAAAAAATTTTGAAAATAGTACAAATTTTTTAATTTAAATATAGAGAAAAAACTGTAACTGTTGTTAATTTGAAATAGAATGCAAAATAATAATGCACATACCTTAAATCCAATAAAGTTAATAAAACTAATGTCATACTTTATAGTTAATTAATTTTTAAAATTTTGCAAATACAAAATACAAATAATGTTTTGAACATGAAATTTTTCACATTTGATTTGTAAACAAACAACGTATGATCTCCTTAATTAAGGACAGTATTAACATTTTCCATATTAGCTTAATTTCATTTTAATGAAGTTAAGAATTAATAAGAATTAAGGATACAAGAAATTATTTTCATTTTAACGAAGTTAAGGAAATTTGGCTGTCGGAAAATGTCGAATGCGACCCTTAAAAATAATTTCCCACAATCGAAAGGACTAAAATTTAAAATACTTGTCATATGTAAAATGTAAACAAATAAAAGTTAAGCTAAAAACAAAAGTGTTGAAAAAGTAAGTATTTAATAAAATCGTTGCTTTTATTAATTGAGCATGTAATAGATATATACAATATTTAGATATAGATATAATATATCAATTATATAACATATTTTAATTTTATTGTGTGAGATATTGAGTGAAGTTTGTTTATTTCAAAAGGATTGCAACAACGGTGTATTGTGTTAGATATTAATTTTTGGAATTTAAATATGGCTTTGTTTCTATTGCTCACTGTTTAACACACATATAAAATATTTATTAAATTTGCCGCGTTTTCCATTTTAAAAGAATTATTTTACACAAAATCGAAATTATTTTTTTATCAATGAATTTGTAAACAAACGAAAGTTCTTTAATAGTTTTTTTGACATATAAAATCTCTATCGGCTGCATAAATTAGATCACTATAATGTGAACGTTTAGCTTTTGAACTTATTAATATTATAATTTATAAGAATTTCTTTATATGCTTTTCATTTTACCCTGTAACTAAAATATTTTTAAATTAAGTATGATGCTTTATATACACTATAATTAATTCGATGATTTCTAAAAATCATTTAACTGTGTATATACAAAAATGTTTAAAATATATTATTTAAAAATGTTTATATTATATACAACTAGATTTATATAGAATGTATGTAAATAACATAGGCAATATGTTTTTTTCTTATTCATAAAATTTAAAACATTTTTTGTAAGACTTATCTAAACTATATTCCTAAATAAAAATTATAACAAGTTTTTTTTATCGAATTAAGAAAATATTTGTTCAAGGTTTTCAGTAAACGGTCGTTTAAAACACCATTGTAATATCATGTTTAAATGATATAGTAGACGCTAAAAAAAATTAAAACGTTTCGAAATTCCAAATAAATTTTGCTATGCATTGAAATACATGTGGTTCTAATTTTAGAAAATATTTTTTGTACATAGTTGTGCATGTACGGTGAATCACCGTACTCCTTTTTTCTTCCTCTGCGACTGTTGGAAACAAAAACTTATTAAAATGGATCAAAACGAGTGAGTCATTTCTCCATCAGCACAGTAGTAATCTTTCGACCCACGTGTTGATATTGATAACGTTATTTCAAAAATTATATAATTTTGTATACCACAAGCCATAGGGTCATTTCTATATAAAACTGAAATGCGATATGAAACAACCACTTCGTCTTATATTTCTGCTAAAAATAAATCACATCAATTGTAGGCTGTTCATAAAATTGAACAATCGGCCTAGATGTGAAGTATAAAATTTTCACTAAAGTTAATTAAAAAAAAATATAAAAGAAGAGTTTAAAATATATTCAAAATCCAATATTTTATTAAATATAATAATTATTATTATTCCATAATTTTAAAAACTATATAAAATAAAACATATAAAAACATATTTTTTTTATTGCGATTTTTTTCCATATTTCTGTTTATTATGAAACTTTTTAGGATTAATACCGTAGGCTTTTAGTCGATCATCACTAATACCATTTCCTTCATTTTCTTCTTTTTTTGTGTTAAATGGATTTTTCTTATTTTTATTTAAATTAAATTTAGAATTATTATTTTTAATATTTTTCAAATTTTTGGAATTATTATGCAAATTCTTATTTATTTTTGAAACTCCACAATTTTTAGTAAATGGATTATTAATATTTTTTTTCTTAGTTATATTACTTTGATTTGTTTGCATTTTATTTTTATTTGTATTATTTTTAAGCTTCAAATCAATGTTTGTAGTATTATTTTTATCTGATTGATTATCAATTAACTCAGAATTGGTCTCCAACTTAGGCTTCTTATGAACAGACATTTCGGTTTGAGGATTTTTTACTGTCGTTTCTGATGAAGTGTCTATTGTTTTAGCCTTTCGTTTCTTTTTCTTTGATTTTTCAACTTTTTCTGTTTGTGGCTGTTCCACACTAACAGAATTAGGTTCTTGACTCTCCTTATTGGTTGGTTTTACATCAACAACATCTTTTCCTTGTTCTTGTTGTTGTTGTTGTAACCCGACATCTTTTTCTTCATCTTCATCAGATCTAAAAATTAAATTATTACAAACATTTATTCAGAAAAATAAATTTTGTTATGCTTACTCATCGCCATATAAACTTTTAAATATTTTGCGTTTTAATTCTTCATTTTTCGCCTTTAATCGATACAATCTTTGATCTTTTTTTTCGATGTGATCAGGTCTGATTTGCACAGCCTTTTTCAAACTTACCCATTGATTAAGTTCCTTATTTTTTGCCAATAAAATCTAAATAACAATACAATAACTTAGTTTTGTACATGGATATATGTGTTATAATATTACTTCCTCAATTGTTAAACCAAAATCATTTGGAGCAGTTTCAACATATTTAAAACGGCAAGGTGTATCACCAATTATATCCTCGCAGTCCAGTTTATAGTATTCATCTATATATTCTGCATATGTTTGTTCATCTTCAGGATTAAATGGTGGCTTTTCAGCTTCTATTATTTCCTTAAATTTATTCTTACGACGTTTACGTCCTTTTCTGCCTTTAGTGTTCTCAATAAGTTCTTGTTGAAGCTGTTCTTTGGCAGCTATAGGATCATAATCACAATCCATATTGAAGTCATCATCTTCACAATTAGGCTCATAATCATCATTATTACCACAATTTGGATTATAATTATCCCAATCTTCAATTTTTAAATCATCAATATCAGAAGGGCAATCCGGTTTTTCTTCGCCCTCATCAACTTGATAATATTCCTCATTAAAAATTTCTTGCATTCTTTTATCATGAGCATCTGGATCAAAGTCTTCGTCGAGTTCTTCATCCTTAAACCCCAGCTCATCATTACCAGTAACCAATTTAAGTTTGCGTATTTTTTCTTCAATTTCCTTTCTTTTAATATCTTTAATTATATCAATTTCCTTCATCTTCTGCTCTTTTTCTTGTTTTTTACGTTCTTTTTGCTCTTGCCGCTTTTGTTTGCGTTTATCATCAGTACGTCTCACAGAATTTTCTATAGTACGCGGATATCGCTGTATAAATTCCGCATCAGGTTCTTCGTATCTAAAATTATATTTCTGCTCGAATTCTGCTTGCTTTTCTAAATCCTGTTCGTCTTCAGATAAAAGTGTATCATTGCCAACAATTTCATCATAAGTTGGAATGTCGTTAGTGTTAGCATTTTCATAACTAAATGTGAAATATAAATGTTTAGATTTATTAAATATTTAACATATTTAAATATTGCTTTTTTACCCTTTATTTAATATATAATCACGTAAAAAACGCTCACTTTGTGGTAGTTTGTTGCTACTCCAATAATTTTTAAGTGGTGCCAATTTTTCTTTAGCATTTTCTTCAATATCATCTTTTTTTCCTGCTAACCAATTAACATAATCTTCCTCTTCTTTATCTTTTTCCTCTTTAGTTTTTTGCCGTTTTTTAAAAATACCACCAAACTCTTCATCTTCAGAGTCTTCATTGCCTAAGACTTTTTTAAACTCAGCTTTGATGTTTCGTTCTTCTTCAACTATTGTGGGCGAAGCTGCTCTATCTCCAACGTCTTCAGTTTCTGAATTGGAATCTATTAGATTGATAAACAGTAATAAAAATAACGTCAATGTTAATTGCATTACTAATTTGTTTATTACAATTTCAATTTTAAAATCCCTACCATCTTCGAATTTTCCTCCTTTTTCAAGTATAATTGTCCTTTCATAATCTTTTAATGTTACTGGCTTCGATTTCTTTTCTTTCTTTGTTTCTTCACTATCGCTATCCAAGTGGTCAAAAAATCGTGTATTCTTATCGTAAATGGATGGATCTTTACTTTTTAATGAAGCGAGTGTTTTGAAAAATTCCTCATCAAATTTTGTATCTTCTACATCATCTTCTTCTGAGGAATCACTATCGTTGCTAGAAAAATCTGATTCCGACACATCTAAGCCTCGGTCTTTATCTAAAATAAAGTTCTTTAATAAGTAGTACTATAAAATAAGTTGCAACTTACACTTCTTCAAAAGTTCTTTTTTACGAAAATTATTATAAGATTTTGCATATTCTTTATTCGTGCTAAGTTCTTGTATTTCATTTTCACTTTCATCGGATTGATCAAATAATTTTTTACTCATGTTTATTTTGTATGAAAATTATTCCTTACAAAACACAGCGCCCCTACACGTGTTTATTGTTGTTTTTTTTTCGAACTGTCAAACTATGTGCGCACTGCCTTATCATTTAGTTTCGTTAAATTTTCACATCATCAGCTGGTAACGCTTAGGAAATTGTTTATCTTAAGAAGTGTTAATATATTATTATTATTGTTATTAAACTGATATATAGTTCTAAACTTTGATTTTAACAATGGCGGATGCAGACGATACTTCCAATACTGAAAAAGACAATTCAAAAAGTTTGTATACTCTTTATCTCTATTAGGTAAATTATAAACAAATTATTTTAGTATGCATTTTATTAAATGCAACTGGAAATGTTCCAATCATTAAAAAGAGAAAATGGACTGTTGATCCAAATAAAACTGTGAGTTGGATACAGAAATTTATACATCAATATTTAAAACTAGATGCCTCTGAACAAATTGTAAGTCATATTTCCTTGCATATATCAATTTTTCATAACGGTGATTCAACATATTACCATATTACAGTTTCTCTACGTCAATCAAACATTCGCTCCAGCTCCAGACCAAATCGTTAAAAATCTATACGAATGCCATGGCACAAATGGAAAATTGGTATTGTACTATTGTAAAAACCAAGCGTGGGGATAAATCAATAAAAAGCTAAAATCATTTATATTAAATTACTTGTTTTTGTTTTGTTTATTTGCAGCTTATTACATTAAAGATCTTTTTTGAACTACGTTTTTGTTTTTATTTAACAAATTTATTGATAAAATTTTTACACAATTTGCAAGATAAGCGCATAAGTGTGAAAAATAAGATACAATTAGCCCTCACGTATAGCCGTTAAAGCATCTGCAGCCTCTTTAGAAATCCTGTGATATTTTGCAGTGATTGGACGATAGTAATAAGATTGGTAGTCATGAAGTTCCGCCATTTTATCTTTGATTTGCTGCTCGAGAAGTCTAAAAGAATATGATTAATGTAAAATAGTATTTATCCTTTTTAAAAATTAATTAAAGATGATATATACCCAAAAACCACTTATCTATAATGGTAAACATAGCTGTTCTTGTTATAATAATAACAAGAAAAAACTTAAATAGCAGGAAAAATAATTAAAATAAAATAAAATAATACAAGTATTTTGTTGTACTAAGAAAGCACATAAAAGATTTTGAAACATACATGAAGGAAAGGAATGAAGAGCGATAGAGTACGGGAGTACATTTTACATTGATCAAGTTCACCATCTTAATAGGATGGAACCATAAATCAATGAACATACATACAAACTCAAGTTTGTATGTATATCAGTGAACTGCAATGAATAAAATTTAAACACTCAGAGTACACTCTTAATAAACAAGTATAAGTGCGTATAAATGTTTTACTCATACGCTACTTATACGCATTCACATTCGTTACAGAAATTATTCATAAGTGTTTCCGTTAACGAGTGCCGGTAGTAGTAAATCATCTTCACAAGAATGCGTACAATTTTTTAAGTAGATAAGCATACATAGAAGATGACTCATGAGTCATAGCATATACACGACCGGTATAAATCAATTAGTGCACGCATCAAAAAGAAATGATTACCGATTTTATCAGCATTCGTAGAAATTTTTGCCGACTGTGGCGTAATACTCATGAATGATTCATAAATCACTTACATCGTTTTTGTGTCGAATGTAAGTGTTAATGATTGTAAGAGTATAAGTTATTATAAACCATTATAAGTTCTTCAATTTATTAATGAATCAGGTGGAGTTGAGTATACGAAAAATAGAGTCAGAAAGCGTATAAATGAAACACGGCTAATGATTCGAGGAGAGTGTTGAGTACTTATTGCAATTCTCTTATGTGTATTTGAAAAATATACATATAACTGACGTCGTTGGATACAGTATTGAAGTTAGGATATACATAACAAATACAGATGTTTATACATTATAAATAATTGCATGTTGTTGTATCCAGACAGTAACTGGACACAAGGACTTATCGCGTTGCAAGTGAAAGTCGTCTTTTATCTCTAAAGATGTAGGTCGAAACCTATTGACAATCCTGTTGCAAATATGGTTTCGAAAACACATTTTTTTAGTTTTAATTATGGTTCACTGATATTCCGTTTAAATAGGTATCATGAATCATGAATACGCCTACATATTCATGATACACAGTCACAGATTGATAAATGTAACATGAATGGAAGATCTATGATAATCACACATCGTTCTGAGTTTAACTAGAACCAGAATTAAAAAGATTTTAAGAGAACTTAAATATTTCAATCTAAGTTACAAGAGCATATGTAAAATTAATTTTAGTAACTTCATTTTAAAATATTTTTATCTAAAAATATCCTATCGATAGATACATTAATAAGTTAATAATTGTATTTTAGTTCAATAATAATATTTCATTAATATTTTGTGAGAGTGTGACTGTTTGGTATTTGTTTAAAATGTTCAATTGTAACATTTACTTCGGTTTAATGCTCAAAGTGAAAAATATTTATTTAAAACCGATAGTTTTTTTAAAATAAAATTTTACATTAAGTTTTGGAAATACTTAGAAAAAGCTAAGTAACGCTGATTAACTAATTTCCTATTTCCTAAATCCTATTTTTATTTTACTAGTTTTAATTTTCGTTAATTGCGAATTATTTACCATATATTTTAATAATGACAATTCTTTATGATTTAGAGTAGCATTTTAGTCACTCTTCCCTACCTCTTCTCTGATAAGTAAACAATGGTTTAAAATTGGTTACTATATATCCAGTTTGTATTTTTTTATACAATGGGAAAACTGATTTCTGTCAATAAATATATATAATCAATACCAGTATTGGAGTAAAAAACCACATACATAAGTACCCCTGATAATTTAAGTAGTAATTTTCGTGTGAACCTTTGCATTTTAAAACTGCAAAGTGGACAAGTGTGAAATTAATATTTAATTTCATAAATTAATAATTAATAAGCTTAATATATAGATTGGTATAGATATAGTATTGATATAGAATTATCAATTATTTTTCGGTTTTATGTGACTCGACTATGTTTTAAAACAAATTGGAAGCTTTTTGCAGATAAGTAGTTTCAGAATATATGTAAAAAAATGTTAATTTTAATTAGTAATAACAAAAACTATAGAATTATATAGAAATATTAAGAAAATCTCTTAATTATAATCACCTCAATTGCGCTTTCTCATTTTCCTCATATAAATGATGCAAAGCCTTCTCATATTCTTGTTGTGGTGAGGTATGAATATAGCGTGCTATGAAACGTGAAATTGGGTGCTAAAATTTAATAAAAGTTATAATACTATATTATATATTACTATATTTAAGTTATACTCTATGATATTCCCAATATTTAGGTTCATAGTCTGGTGGAATTTCCGTCAATTGAGCGGGTCCAACAAATATATTGGCATACAAAGTAATTGCAACAATTGGTATTAATCCAAGCATAACGTAGAAATGTAATAAATCCTTAAATTTGTGCCATTGGAAACGGGATGGTGTTATAGGCATTTGATGACCATGATCACCACTCATTTGACGCAATCGTATTTGAAGTGCTAAAATAAATATATTTGTAAGTAAATCTATATGTGTAATAAATAAATATATAAGTAACAAATATTCTGTTGTTAATTGCGTAATTAGTACTTTTTTAATAAATTACTTCACTATATACTAACCATTTTTGCATATCGGATTTTGCAATATATTCCTGCAATTGGACAAAGCTACTGCCGGCCGCACAAGGCTACTCCAACTAACCATTATTAAAGTTTTATACTTTTATTAATTTCAGAAAATTTCTTATGCAAGCTAAATCCCCGTTGACAACCAATGTGAGCTGTCAATTTTGACAATATCTAAATATTTTTAACGAAAAGTCGATAGTGCAGGATTTTTCTTTTGTTCATTCATTTTGATTTGACGTTTACTTTTTCATTCCTTAAATTTCTTTTTCTTTTAGTCGTTGATTCGGAAAGTTTGTTGGCGTGTTTCTATCAATTGTTGCAAGAAATATAAATTTAACCGCAAATTCTAATTATATTATAAAAATGTATAGTGCTGAAGATTACGAAAACATTGTAAGTAGCCACATATTTGTTAATTGCTAATTATTATAACTAGCATTTCATATAAACATATACCAAATACATAACCAAACTTTGTATGTTCCATTCCAAATTATGAATGAATTTACTAATCAACAACAAATATTATTTATAAAAATATAATTATTAAAGGACTATTACAATGAATATGGTCATACTGGTGATCCTCAATTGGACATGGAGTACGAGCGTAACTATTACGCTAGTCGCATGCCGGAAAATGTCAAGTACTTTTTGATGAACTTCTGTCAAGCCATTAAGGAAGGTGTACTCTTTGATATTCAGAATATGTATGAAAATACATTTCCACAAATCAGTGATCATCACTTTGATAAGTCTGCTTGGCCTGATGAGCAAGAAGTAGCTGCTGTTGTTGAAAACGATAAAGTATTTTTAATACTTTATAAAGAGTTGTACTATCGTCATATTCATGCCCGTATACCAGGTGGACCAAAACTGGAACAGCGTATCAATTCGTTTTTCAACTATTGTGACTTTTTCAATTTGATTATATCGTCGCAAAGTCCAGTGCTCTTGGAATTGCCCGATATTTGGTTATGGGAGTTAGTAGATGAATTTGTTTACCAATTCCAAAATTTTGCTCAATACAGGTATATATAAATATTTTAGCGCGATTACTATTTCCTAAGCACCATGATTTGTTGATAGATTTTAGTAAAATGTGCTAGTTTGGGCAAATTTTTTACTACACCATTTGTAGGTGTAACTTGGTTAAAAATCACGGTGCCTGCGAAATTGTAATCGTAACAAATGGTTCAATTTTGATTAACTATATTCAAAATATTTAAATTTTAGAGCACGTTTAACTGATAAAACTCAAGAGGAAATTCAGCAATTGTGCGTAAATCATAGCAATGTATGGAGTATACTTTGCATCTTAAATGTGCTGCATTCGCTGGTTGACATTTCTAATATTAAGAAACAACTTGTAGCTTTATCACAAGGAAATGATCCACAAACTGTTGCTGGAGAATTTGGTGAACTTTCATTTTACAAAATGTTGGGATATTTCTCATTAGTTGGTTTGCTTCGTGTACATTCCCTTTTGGGCGATTATTATCAAGCAATTAAAGTTTTGGAACCTATCGAAATACACAAAAAATCGCAATATTCGCATATACCTGCTTGTCAGATTTCAACATCGTATTATGTTGGTTTCGCATATATGATGATGCGTCGTTATGCTGATGCTATTCGTACTTTCTCCGATATATTACTCTATATACAACGCACAAAACAATTGTATAGCACACGTTCATATCAAAACGATCAGATAAATAAACAAGCTGAACAAATGTATCATTTATTGGCTATATGCTTAGTTGTTCATCCACAATGTATTGATGAATCTATTCAACAAGTTTTACGTGAGAAAAACTATCATGATGCTATGTATAAAATGCAATGTGGCGATTTGGAGGTTTTCAAATCGTTTTTCGTTTTTGCATGTCCACGGTTTGTTAGCCCCTGCCCTCCTGCTGCAGATGCACCAATGGAAGATTATGTTAAAGATCCGATGGAACACCAATTAATGGTATTCATGGATGAAGTCCGTCAACAAAAAGATCTACCAACAACACGTTCATACTTAAAGTTGTATACTACCCTACCACTGGTTAAATTAGCTTCCTTTATTGATCCAAATGCAGGTGATGATGATGTATCAAAATTGTTGATTCGTCTACTTTGCTTCAAACATAAAATGAGGAATTTGGTATGGACCAAAGGTTCTAGTGGTTTGGAAGGTACCTTCAAGTCTGGTTCTGAGGTAAGTTATTAAATATAATTAAAAAATTTGTACGTTTTTCTATTATTGTATGGTTTTAATTATTTTTATTTATATATCTTTTTTGATTTTAATTTATTTTATTAGTTTTTATATATTTATTTCATTAGCTATTCTTATACATTTATTTTATTTGTTGTTTTTCATTTATTTATAAGTACAAAAAATATGATTTACAGTATTATATAGCAATTAGTGGTTCAAGTACTTAGACGGTTTATGTAGTCTTTACATGTTCATCATATGTCTGTACAAATATTTAAAAAGCTATGAAATAGGAGATGCTAAAAATTATGTTTACTTCTTCAATTAAAGTAAATATTTTAACGGGGACATGTGCGTCTGAGTTTCATTGATAAGCGTTACAAATTTTCAATATTACATACAGACATTTTATGGATTAAATAATTATGAATAATTATTATTAATTATATTAGTTTTTATTTTCATATAATTCCTCATGAATTCTTTCTCAGGGTATTATTACAACTGCTTTTGGAAATATATAAATCGATTTACAAACAATAAATTAAATACTATACAATATATAAATAATATACAATAAAAAATATACAATCAATATTGTACTAGTCACAGGTAGCTGTTGCTGTAACTATCCTCTTTCATATTTATGGTTTTATCTATATTTTTTTGTATAGATATGCTCTCTAAGGTTGCCATGTGTTGTGCTAATGCAGTTACTTTTTTTTACCTGTCTTGATGTCGTACTGATGTTCCTTTATTCTTGTGCCTACTGTCCGTTATGTTGTTCCAATGTCTTTATATGTATATATGCAATCGTCGTCTTTGCAGTTTACCTGATATACTACATTGGATTCTTTATATGGGCTTGATGTTGTTGTTGCTTTTGTGAAAATAGTTTTTAGCACTCTTACCGTTTTGAGTATCAAAACATTTGCACTCAAAACGGTAAGAGTGCTAAAAACTATTTTCACAAAAGCAACAACAGCTTCAAGCCTATATAAAGAATCCAATGTAGTATATCAGGTAAACTGCAAAGACGACGAATGCATATATACATATAAAGACATTGGATTGATTATTTCTTTTAAATTTTCGTTATCGGTAAATGTTGGAATATATAGTATGCTGAAGAAAGCCAGGAACATCAAAATGACTTCCAGACAGGTTTAAGTCCTCTATTTATATAGAGAACAATTCAAAAATAAACAGAAACATTTTAAAAAGTGAACTCACAACTACTCTAAATTAATTATATTTTGATAGCTACAATATAAACTAACCAATTTTATAATTATATTTAAAGGCAACAAGTTAAAATGAAATCAACCTTACATATTAATATTTTATTCACATATTTTTTTATTGATTCACTTCTAGTAAAAAATACAAACCACACAGATTGTTAAAAATAACTGTTCTTGTATTAAAAATTCTTGAAGTCAACAATATTATTTTCAGTTTAAATATTTCTAATAAAATTAAACGATTCAGATTTGATTGTAACTATCAAATATATTAGATTACGTTACTGTGGTGTCAGTATAAATGACTAATTGATATTAGAAACTATCTTTAATATTTGTGATACCAATACTAATCGTACCTTAGAAGTTAATTTATAATGGAAACAATTCAAGACTCTAATAAAGCGCAGATAGTATCTTAACGCTGGATACTTTTATGAGAGAGCTTAAGAAATACGAGTAATGGGCTAAAAATTTCGCTTTGTTTACGATTAAAGCTACGCCGCTATATAAGAAATACTTCACGATTTCTCCCCCACATCTCCATAGCTTGGGCAGTATTAAAGGAAATCCTTGTCTAAAATCGTGTCTACCAAATATTCCTTTGCAGGTTATATATGTTTTGACCTCAGATATATACTCTATAGAATATATTGATAGGATGAGTTAATTCCGTGTTTTTTCCGATCAAATGTTCTCATTACATTAGAATTATATATATTTGATCGGTGCAATTTTAAAATAATCAACACATTTGCAGATAATGAATATAAGTTCCTTTAATATAAATTCAAGCAAGTTGTTCCATTAATTATTTTTATCTTTATTAATTTAAATTTCTTTTTAATTTTATTTACTTTTATTCTATTATTTCATTTCGGTTTTTACTTAGTTTTTTTTATTTTGTTTTACTTTATTCTTTATTCATTTCGGTTTTATTAGTTTTTTTTATTTTATTTACTTTTATTCTATTATTTCATTTCGGTTTTTACTTAGTTTTTTTTTAATTTTGTTTTGTATATTATAATTAATATCAAATTTATTTTTGTTTTATTAGTTAAAATTATAGTAAATTATATATATTATAATTAATATATAAGAGGTATTAGCTATTAAGGAATTCATAGATTTCTATATATATAATGATTATATATACATATATGTAATAATGCAGTTATTAATTGAACGTATTAACTTTTTTCAGTTGGACTTTTATATTGATGATGACATGATTCACATTGCGGACACTAAAGTATCACATCGATATGGCGATTTCTTTGTACGTAAAATTCTAAAATTCAATGACCTAAATCGCAAATTAAAAAATATACATTTATAAATATAATTAATTAATAATTAAGGTTTTTAAAATAATTTTTGTATACATTAGACAGAATGTAATAATAATAAGATGATTGTCTAATTTATTTCAATTGTAATAAAAACGGGTTTAATGCCTCGGAAAAGCCTATATATATATTGTTTTTGTAATTTTTAGTATTATTCTTATGAACCAGTTGGGAGGGACAAGTTGCACTACTTGGTTGTCTGACAAAATAAATATCTTTCTTTTAACGCTTGTAAAATTGTTAGTTTCGCTCAAGTTGGACTGGCAGCTTTGTGCACCAAAACTTACTTAAGCAGAAATAATAACTGGATGTGATATAAATGGCATGAGATCGTTGTATGCAATTATTAAATTTTTTTATTCTACAACATAATACCATAGACGATTTAGCAGCACGTTTTTGGAGATTGATGGTTGTAGTTGTTCTTGTTAAAACCATGGAAATCTACGTTGTAATATGAATATATTAGTAAGGATGAAATTATTTGAATGAAAATTGAGAAGAACAGCATTGTTTGGGTTAAGAGGGACGAGGGCGCGATTCAATTGGTTTATTATCTTCAGTGATTTAATTAAAGAATACCTATATAGTTCATTTCGTTTTTGTTTAAAATAGAAAAGTGTTTACTGTAAAAAGCTGAAATCAGACCATTGTTTTCATAATAAAATAAACATAATAACGTCCTTTTGGAAGAGCCTAATAGGTTAAATTAAAATATAAATTTCTCAATTTTTGATCTTTAATATTGAACTGATAAGAACTACTTTACTTAATCAATTCATAATTCCTTTTAAATGAACAATTTTATATGCGAACTCTACCAACCTATAGAATATGGTTGTCTTTGCATGACTGCATATAATATTAGTAAATACATTAAAGTCAAGTAAAAGTTATTTAATGTTGTATTAGTTTTTTTTTTATTTTCAACCTTTAAAAATTATTATCTAAAAGTTACTCATATATATTACATAATTTTTTACAAAGTTCATAACTTTACATGGTATTATTTAGGTAATTTAATTGTGTTACCAATCAAATATTTCCACACGTTAATATTTATTTAAACTAGGTAAAATGTCGGACTATACTTATTTCATAAAACAAGTTTTTTCGTTTGTTGACTGTAGATTGAAATTCACTATGATTATATAAAAACGAAAAACTATTTTAATTAAACCAGGCTTTAAATGATTGATTGTATCTATTATTTACAAATATCCAAGAATTATTTAAATACTACATAAAAGCTGCATAATTAGCATTTGTGACTGAGTTTAGAGAAGTGCATAAATATTTTCTAATTTTACTATTTTTTATTCTAGTTTTTCCGTTGCTTATAAATTTAATTGCTTTGTGTAAAAATGTTTAATTACATATGTATGGACAAATATTTAATTACGACTGTACTTAATTTACAAAGGGTATAAGATATTAAGCGTTTGTCTGTGTAAAATTGATCTGCTGAACAATAGAATATAAAGCGATCTATGCTTAGAAATCGAATGGTAATTTCTTTGGCTATTATTAATCATATAAAATCATATAAACATGTGGACATGTGGACATGTTGTTTATAAAAATTCTACAATAATTTATCAAACATATAAGTGTATATATATATATATAAACATGTAAAATAGCATTACAATGCATATTTTATTTTTAAGTATTTTAAACAATCTCATTATTAAAAAACTACAAAACTACATATCAAATGAGTTCTCAGCGTAATTTTATGTATTTCATAAATTGTATTTAATATATATTTAACCGATAGGCGTTGGACGTTGATTTACATCGATAAGATAAATGTCTTTATGATTTTGTAGCACAAAATCAATAAAAGCATTTATTGGCGTTATTTCCTCTAATGATGTACTATTTTTCCCTGACCACAGAAAATTTGGTCCAAATACTATAGCTAAGTTAGATGAGGTCATTTTATTTAGATCTTCACATTCCATCACCTTTAAATATGAGAATATAATTAATTTTTTCATATATTTATTTTAAAAGCATATTTACCCGAACTAAGAATTCTACTAAATATTTGAAAAGCTCATAGTTTTCTTCAGGTAGTTTTTCCCTAATTAATTGTGTTACATTACGTGAACGTTCTTCTTTCGGCCATTCTGAAATGAATTTTAAAAATATTATTCTTATTTTATTTGCAATATTTTATAATAGAAAAGTTAACTAAAATTTTGGATACTATATATTTTACATTAAAATTTAAACATGGTTTCTGCTCTTACTATTGTTAGTAAATTATATGTGGTTTAAAATTGGTGTTAGCCATTTTATTGAACCACTCACTCTATTAATCTCATATATAAGAAATAGAATTACACAGTAAACTTCAAAAATTAACTGTTGATATTGAATTTGAGTATGAGGCAAAAAGTAGAAACTGTAGATAGTAGGTAATTATAATATATTTCTTACAGCTAATATCAAACTTCTGCAAGATGGCAGATTTTGTACATGGCCCTTGATAATAGCGATATCTAATGTAATGAAATTTAAAGAAATGATTTTAGTATATTGTTTTGTGTTTCAATGTTATTTATAGATAAAACAAAAACAACCCAAGATACTCGCAAAGATACACAAGATTTTGAGAAGTTGCGTACAATTAATTGGTTTGGTTCAGATAACTGCAAAGCGTCATAATTTCAATACTAAGAGTATACTCATAAAAAGCAAGTATAAGTGCGTATAAGTACTTGCCTCATACGTTACTCATACTCACCACACAGATGGCTAATAAGTATTTGCGTTAAAAAGTGCCAGAGTTAATCAATCAGCGTAACAAGAGTGTAAACAATTACTTGAGTAGAGTACAAGCAGAAGTATTTATCATATACTTTAGTACTAATCAATGAGTATAATCTAATAAAGGTAAAGATAACCAAATTATCTATAAATAGCCGTAATGATTAAAGTCAGAATAATACATTTGATACCACAAATCGAACATACCATCATCAGAATATATATATATTTCTTTTAGCGCAACTTATATATACATATTCTCGTATTTTTATATTAGCAAATTGTTATGATTTTAAAATAATAGTTTGAGCCTATATATATATTCCAGATCACACAGACTCTATTTAATAAATTATTTGGTAAGGCAATTGTATAATATTAAAAACTAAACTATTGAAGATGTGTCTACTTTACTGCAAAATATAAGTAAAGAAATATCACATACATTTACTATTAAATTCATTTATATGGAATGATATACGAAAATACTTCTCACATATGTAAATATGTAGACAGTTAATTAAATTATAATATTTACCCAAAAAATTGGTTATGTCATCATATAGTTCAAATGTAAGTAATGGCTCGGATAGATCACGTAAAAAACTTTTTAACAATCCTGCAATGACATGTACGTTGACGTCTTTTAAATCAACATCTTCACCACGATTAACACGATCTTTTAGAGCAATTATTTCTGCATGGTTACCGGAGCGTCGGAATATTCCCTCAGTATCTATCATACCTGTCATTGACAATGAATCAACGCATTTTCGTACAATTGGTGGTATAGAATTTAAGCAAGGACTATTTGTTACAATAAATTTTAATGTTACACCAAATTGTGCTGTCTTTGCCATTTGCTTGTTTGATGTGCTGGAATGTGTGCTAGTGCCGTGACTTGTGTATTTACGATTTGAATTAAGCTTGTCGTCAATGTCACAAATATTATCAGGTAATTTTAGTTTACATAAACCCAAAGCTTGTCTCAATTCGTCTAAACTAGATATATATACAAGCTTTTTACGAAACTTTTCACTAATGAATGGACTGAAAAAATTCCAAATGACACGTATAAACCAAGTTGGATGCACAACATATAAATTTTTAAGATTTTTGCGAAAATTTCTATCGAGTTCTTTATATGAATTCCAGAGAAATTGTGCGGATGGCTTGTTATCTTCCTTTAAGCCTTGATGAAAATACACGAGAATATAATCATTCTCTACAAATGGTTCAATTTCTTTTATAACATCACTAGAATGAAGAAAAAAATTATATGTTTATTATAATAAGACAATAAATGTTAAGATTATATACCGTATGAATCTTTCCATTTGTGATTTTTCTGGAAAACGTGAGGCATAAATACCAAATATATGTCTACCTTGTTTGTCTGTACCAAGAAAATCACATTTATTTTTTGGTGCAGTAAAATTCTCTGATTGCTGTACATATATAAATCATTATAAATAAATTAGTTGTAAATTATTGATTTATTTACCTCTCTTAGTTGGTCAAAATCATCTTCTAAGGGATTTACAATCTCCTCTGGTGTAATTTCTGGATCTACAAATAAAATATGATTTCTTATTATTTAAAATACAAATAAAAATTATTGAACTTACCATCGGTTAGAACAAAATCACCAACCATTACATCTTCTAAGGAACAAGAGATATAGTTTTATTTGTATTATATAAATAACTATAATATATTAAATGCGAAAACAATGCTCTTGACTACTCACTTTGCAGCGGTGTAGGCGATAACAGCTCAGTATCATCAAATTCTAATTTAGGCTCAAAATCATGTAAATCAGATAGACTTGGCTGTGGTTCTTCTGAATTTTCTACAACTGCATTTATTGCAGGTCCTATTTAAAAAATAAAAGCATTATTCCCATAAAAAATTAAAAAGAATTTATTTACATACTAATCTTGCAATAATTTATGCGCCTTAAAGCGGCAAGAAATAATATTTTGGTGATTAATAATTTGATTGAGTCAAAAATTGAATAAAATTGTTTGCAAATATATTAGTGAAGAGTATTTTATGTATAAAAATTGTTATTTAATATTAATTAAATATAAAAATACTATACATAACTATAAATAATATTGATTGTATTAAATTATAATCAATTAGGTTGTTATTAATGAAGCATCTAATAATACTAAATTCAAATTACATGCCAAAACAATTACAGTGAAAACTCTCTTAAGCAGACACCGACTAAACCAGGAATTCCGTACTTTAAAATAAAAAAACACTGAGGACTAACAACATTGACCGATAAACAGAGTAATCTGTTTATGAGAAGAGCGTCAGTTTACAGAGCTTTCACTGTATAAGTTAAAAAATTATATCAGTAAAATAGTATTGAAATCAATAATAACTAGATAATAACATAACATAATAATTTATAGGAATTTAGTTTAGCAAATATATTAAACGAAAAATTAATATCAAACGAGGTAGTCAGGTAGTTAGTTAAAATGGAAGATTAAATTCTCATTTGGTCGTTTAAAAGTCCTTCTTAATGTCATAATCCTCGAAACTTTGAGGACGTGGTTGTTTATTTTTTAACCAATTGAGGACTATTGGTTCTCAAAACAATCTATAGTATTTAAAACAATTTTTAGTTATTTTAACTAAAATTAAATTTTATAAATTCTAATTTAAAAAAAACAAAAACAATAAGATAAACTAATTCATTGAGTACGACAATTAAATATATTATAAAACAGAAACTAAAAATATATTTTTAAAGAAATATTTTATATCAAATACATCAGCAGGTGGTATTGAGCAAAATTTATACATCAAACTATCAACTTATTGAAAAAACATCTCATTATTGTGATAATAAAACATATGTATATATAGAAATTACTTTTAAACTAATCAACATTAAATACTATGAACAGAATATTAGGAAAGTACAATATTTTATCATGCAATGTTAATTTTTTAATTAATAATTATTAAAAAATCTAGTTTTTTACCTGGAAGACGACTCGTGTTATAACGTCGTGTATTATCCATGATGCAGTTGATACTAAGTCACCTCGTATGGCGAAGGTTGTAACCCTTTACCGTAGATTACGTCTTAAAGTAAAATAGAATATTAATTATACGACTTTTAATATTTCAATTATTTAAAGAGAATCAAACAATACAAATCAATACAACTTTTACACTATTATGATAATCATACATAATTTGAGTCTACCGAGAAATACAAAAACAAAATTCTTTTCAAGTTACACAAACGCTCTGCAAAAATGACGTCACTGTTAAGCCATTCACAACTTAGGTTTTCCTTCACATATTTTTTTATAACCACTTCCGATTTAAAAATAAATATTATCTTCTAAATGACAAATTGCTTATACCTAACTAGTATAGTATATACCACCCTAACTTTTATCAAAATTCAATAAAATTATACACTGAAAATATTACGGTAAAAAAGTTCACTAACAACCAATGTAATTGCTGTCTGCGCAGTGTTTTGCGTATTTCTTTTATTGCAACTAACATTTCTTATCAAATTTTTTAAATGGTGTCATTTGTTCATTTGTTAACACTTGAACAATTTATGGTAAAAGTTTTCGCAAGCAATTACGTCTGATTTTGAACAGTCATATTTACATAAAAATATATATGAAAATAAAATAACAAACAAAAGACCAATGTAAATATCAATAATTTTTTTCAATAAATTTTTTTTCAATTTGACTTACAAAAAAATATTCTTTCCTAATTTTTAAATCTAAATAATAAAATTCGAACTCCAAAATTTAATTTATTTAGCAGTGCTTAAATACTAAATATTATTTACAACACAATTTTATTAATCAGCTAATATTTTAAATCGTACAATTTTTATATACTCTACGTTTTCTCTGTTCGTTTTAGTTTTTATTTGTGTTTTTCGCAACGTTGCCACATTATTTTATATTGATTTTAACATATTTATCATGAAACAATAAACATAGCTTAAATTTAATTGAGTTAAATTTATATATTATTTTTTTTATAAAAAGATAGGCGTATGTCTACTTAACTTACATTGAAAACAACAATAATTTCAAATTTGAAAAGACCATGACACTATATAATTCTAGGCGTTTTCGGTGGCTCGCAAGTGTGACAAAAAATGTATGCTAACCTATATTCCCTAAGCAAGACATTGACATCACTGTTGTAATCTGTCAAGTGTTATGTTTTGATAAATAGCAAAAATTGCATATGTGCACATAATGCATGCAAATTACATTTTGTATAAAAATAAATAATTAATATAAATTAAAATTAAAATGAATACGAAATTAAAAGGAATGGTAAAAATCTGGAAATTTCACAATAAAAATTGAAATTTTTTCTTGTTTACCAATTTTCAAATTTATGAAATTTTTGTATTTTGTTTGAATTTTTGTTTACATATGATTTTTGACATATGATTGCAATATTCGTTGGAATTTCCAATGAAGGTTCACAATAGTTCGCTTATTTATTGCTTATTTGGCGAGTGTACCATACTGACCGAGGTAGAGAAAATAGTGTTATTGTTTTGCATACTTTTCGGCCAGTATAGGCCACAACTTTTTTTTTTGCCATACTTGATGGCCACCGAAAACACCTAATATAAAGCCATTTATTATATTTAGTATGGCACAAGTTTTAACAATTATGTGTTATTATGCTCATATAATGTATGTAATAACGTAGCATGCTCACTATTATTATTTTTTAATATTCCATTGCAAAACTTGTAAATGAAACTATTAAAAAATTTTTTTAACGTATTATTTTTGACGTGTTTATTTATATGTTGACTTTTTTTGGCAACTGGCAGCACCACGATTCAACTGATGCGATGACAGTCCAATAAGATCAAAATACACTTGTACTAAATTTGCAACAGATTGAAATAAATTTTGGTTTAATAATTTACAAAAATGAGTTCTAATAGCAGGTGTGCACTATAAATTTAAAAAGTGTTTAAAATGAAATTTAATTATATTATCAATGTAATGCTAATATAACACAGTATTGTGTAAATTACTCTATAAAATTATTCGAGGTGAACTTTGACACAAATAAGGTACTCAACTTTCACTATTGACAAATTAAATAAAATCATATAACCAAAAAATGGCTACAAGAAGGCGACCTTTACGCCCAACTGGACCAAGTTCGTCCAATTTTCGCCCTGGTGGGCCTGATATAACACGTGCTGAAGCAAAGGGGACAAGACCTACAGCACCACCAACAAGTGTGCGAGAAATCTTTGTCATGATGGTGATGCATGCATGCAAGAAAACAATTTTCTTCGACATAAATTTAAAAGTAGCATTATACTTAGGTAGCCTTTTTGTTGTTTCGTTAATTGGTGATTTTGTGCCATTTCCAAAGACTTACTTCGCACGTTCGGATAATTTATTCAATGTATATTTTGTGAAAATTGGCTGGGGATGGACATTGCTACTCAGCATACCTTTTATATTTATGACTTCTTACACTTTGTGTTGTGGTGATGGCAAACAGTTTTTAAAACATCATTTGCCTCGCATATTAATAGCAACATTTTTCTGGTTCTTCTGGACAAAGATGTTCAATATAATTGAAACTGCTTATGGCAAATGCACAGTTAAAGGTAATTTAAACACTTACTATGGGTAAATATAGAATTCATATTTTTTAAATTGTAGGTTTTCATACCAAATCCAGTTGTCTTAAGGATGGACACTTATGGCACGGTTTTGATATATCTGGTCACGCTTTTATATTAATACACTCTAGTCTTGTACTTATTGAAGAGGCACGTCCAATATTGCGTTGGGAATCAATTAAAGAGCATATAAGAAATGAGTTACACGATCGTAGCATTTCTGAGCACTCAAGTACGAATCCTTTGCGTAATCTTAGCTCGGAACAGATAAGAAATTTAAAGTTTTTGTACGAACGTTTAACACCAGCCATACGTACCTTGTTCATTGGAATATCTGCACTGCAACTATTGTGGGATGTGATGCTAGTTGTGACTATGTTATATTATCATAGAATGATTGAAAAAGTATTAAGTGGTATTTTAGCTATTTTGACTTGGTATTTTACATACAGGTTTTGGTATCGTACAAATGTGTTACCAGATCCACCAGGTAGTGGTTCGTTTTTTTATCAACGTGAAAATAAAGATATTTTTGTTTATAAACGCACACCAAGTATGACAAGTTACACTGGTCCTTCGACGAGTACCGGTATAAGAAGCGGTAATAGTGGCACAGGTGCAGGAACAACGCAAACACAAGTACCAACATTTATGGGAATGCCAATTTATGTTAAATCAAAACCTAATGCAAGCGGAAATCAATCGACTGATCTATCAACGTAGTTGAAACAATCTATTCATTGAATTAAAACTAACCCTGGTTGTAATTAAAATTTATTAAGCAAAAATGAAATAGATAAACCAAAATGAGAATTTTAAGTTTACATTTTTTCCAAACGGATTTTGGAGGCTATTTGATATTATTTATAACGTCTATGGTGTTTTGAATAGTTGTAGTTATATAATATGTTATTTGTATATTTATTGTTTTTTTTATTGTTTTATATGTCTTAATTGCCATTTTTTGTTTTTATTAATTTAATTTGTGTTTCATGTTTATACGTTAATTGTTTAAAGAAATGGATATTTTTTAAATGTATGAATTTTGTTTTTCATTTATGAGCAAATGCTGCAAACATAGCCATACCTAAAACTCCTGCTCCAGCACCAATTTTGTAATTAGATGGAGTTTTTTGCCACATATCTTTCAATATTTCAAAATTGGTTGGAACTAATTTTTGATAAGATTCCCTCTTCCGGAAACGTAAAAAGAAACTTTCCACATGCGGAAGCTTTCCATATCCCCAATAATAGTTTTCGAAACCCAATTGATAAAGTCGATGTAGCAATAAGCCGAAAGCAATATCAGTTAATGTTAATTTATCTGTTATTAACCACTCGCGATCAGGATTCTCTTTCAGATCAGTTTCGATGGTATATAAAACATTATATACATTATCTAGTATTTTATGAAACTCAACACGTGAATAAACCACACGTCTTCGTTGATCTTGTATTTCTAATTTGCGTAACAAAGCGGCTTTATTTACTTCTGCTTCTTCAATTGATTTTTTTAGTAGTTCGTATACTTTTTCATTATTTTCTGTAATTTAAAATGAAATTAAATTAACAAATAATCTATCATTTCAAAAAATTAATTAAAAAAAAAAAATCGAAGCTTATTAAGTAAAAGTATAATGGCAGTTCCTTTACTTCTATAAGTAATAGGACGTTCTATTAGCGAAATATTATTAGATATTATTGAATTAGAATTAGAAACATTGAAGAGAAGCAGAGAGAAGCAATATATATATAAAAAAAAAATATATTTATATATATTTATATATATTTATTTTGATAAAAAACTTACTTATGCATGCTTTTCGTACTGGACCAATAAATGGTGGTTTGGGAGCTAGTTTTAAATCTTCATGTATGAAGGAACCAAGACTTAAGGCACCAACAGGTACCTGTGCTAAAAGTTTATCAAAACGTTGTAATTTTTCATACTCTTTGGCAGTAAAATTATATGATTTAAATGCTTGATGTTTATCTATAAAAATATTAGATTTTAGTTAGAAAGTAATAAAATGGTAGGTGGTTTCGTTTTTATACCACTTCTAAATTTATCCTCAACATAATTCATTATGTGTCTGGAATCTGGAATTATAAATGGCCCGTCTTGTAGAACAGGAACATCTCCTTTAGGATTTATATTTAGAAACCACGAAGAATATTGTTCTCCATTTGATAAATCCAATGCATATGGTGTAAATTCTAAATTTTTTTCATATAACATAAGCAGTACCTGTAATATATCAAATATATATTTAATATATTAATAAAAAAATAAGCATATGTGTGGTAACTTTTATATAAATATTATTTTTTAATTAAAATATTCTAAATATTTTTATACTAAATTTGTATTATTCTTTCGAAATTAATTAATTATAGTATTGATTAATTGCATTAAATTATACGCAATTATATAATTACATTTAGCGAAACATATCTGTATGTATCTATACCGAAAGACTTTTCTAATATGATCGCCTTTAAGAATTATATTAAAAAAATATAAATATTTATAATATAATAAATTCTTAGTCCCGAAATTAAGTATTGTATTATATATACTTCTTTAAATGAAATGACTGAAACAGAAGGAAGGGAGTGTATAACTTTTACTGAAGATATTGGAATCATAATTACATTATCTCTGCTTTTAACTAGCAAAACTAAAATACATCCTAAATCTATGGAAAAATAAAAAAAATAAAAAATTTTTAGAAATTCTCATTTATATATAATTGTACTGAAATCTATAAATGATTTACATTTACATATACAATTAAGGCCGTGTGCGAGCTCGAGTAAATTGAGGTAAATAGTAAATTTCCTCAAGTAAATAATAAATTTCCAGAATTTCGAGTAGGGTAAATTAGATAAAAATTAGGTAAATTAGGTGTTACCATTGTGAATATTTTATAAGATATTTAATAAATAAATAAATATATTTGAAAACTTTTAACCAAAACTAATACGTAAGTGCAATAATAAAAAAAAATAAATATTTACATAAGTGCAGTTCAAAAAATCCCTAAGAAATTTCCATTTACTTTATCTCAATTTACTCCAACTCGCACACGGCCTAATTAAATACTTATATCGTTCTCTATTCCGGTTCTAACTGATAACCAAAATCAAAATTATAAACAAAATTATATCTACTTTATAAAATATTTATTAAAAACATACGTAATGTTCATAATAAAATACCTACCTAGGTATAATAAATTTTTTTTTAAGTATAACACATTGCATATTGTGGTTTTATTGCAAATACCTTTTACATGTATAGAATAATGTATGAATATAGAGTAGTATAAGATCATTTACAAAAGCATTCTAAAGTTTAAATCTACTATTTATAATGTAACTACAATCAAAATTTAAACCATTCAGATGTAATGATTAGCATTAGTGGCAGATTGGAAGGTTCCAAGAACGGTCGTGTCTAGGTCCCCCAGCCACTCGTCCCCAAAGACGACCAAGTACCGTTCATCACCTCCCAAAAGGATTTCACAAGCAGGTCCCAGCGAGTTACAACAACCACAGCAGCAGCATTGGTGCTTGGCATAATTTTAGATATATAACAAGTGGAAAAGTTTTGGAAGGTCCAATGAAGAATAGATCAGGTTAACTATCAATATCTTTCACTTGTAGTCCAATGTACACACATTTAATCAATCAATATTTATTTTGTAGACTTTAAAGTGACCCACTCCATTGAGTACAATTCTATTCTCCTAGCACATGACTCAATCTTCCATAAATTTTTTGAAGACTGATTCGGGTATAACCTTCAATTCTTGTGAGTTTTACTTACGGCTGTAATCGGTTTGATAAGCTTTCTTTAAAGTAGTTATTCTTGTTTCGGAGTCAGTTGAGTAAGGTGCTTGGTAGATCAAATACCGTACTTGTTAACATAATATATAAAATAAATAAATGAATTTTTATAATATAAATTTATTATATATTAATTTATTAAAAAGAAAATTTTTCAAATTAAGCATTGAATTATAATAATATTGTTTATGAATAAAAAAACATTGTTAAAATGCTGAAATGACTAAAAATCTATCTACAATCTACAGTAATATTTAAATCAGTTTGCCGATAAATAACCTACGCTAACAATTTTCGTATTGTCTTTATTTGTGTTTGTATATTATCAGAACTTAAAATTTTATTTAATTTTTAAAAATTCAAAGTACTTGCGATGATATAAACTTATTTTTTGAAAAATTTAAAAAATTGTACTATTTCTATATAGCGGATCTCGAAAATAGGAAAACAAATGCTATGCTCGCCAAATTTTCTGAGTAAGCATAGGCGAGAAAGCAGTAGACTCAGCTTTATAGCGATGAGTATTATAAATAGATATGTGAGCATATGGGTTGTACATCATTGAGTCATGTTTACTTTAAAGTTTACCATTTTACTATATGGATCGTTTAACAATTGCTAAACGTGTTAGAGTTATGTGTAACTTAATACAAAAATGGTGAGTCTGTGGTAGGATTCTGTTAAGTAATGTGACTAATTTTTCGTTTAGAGGATACGCCAACTAATAAAATTGTTACAGTTGGGACAGAAGAAAGCCGTAACTAACTACCTCTATAGTAACTATAGTAATTTAATTAGTCGCGAAATGTGATAGGCTTGTACTTTTTGAAAATATGATGAAGGTTTGACACAAATCGTCAATTTTAATAGCTGCCGACACATGACCACAAATAGGGCATACAATTGAAGATAGAGATGTTGAAGATTAAAGGTTTCGATATAATGTTGTCAAAAGCCATAAAAGACTACTTGTTTCAGCTTTGTAGCGCGAGAAGTCGATAACTCTTTATTCTATAAAATTTATTTAATTTCAACTCATTTAAATCATTTAAATTTAGTAGATTATAGTTCTTGGCCATTATCAGGAGCAAGTAGTGCAATACCAATCGTTTAAAGATAATTAAATTATTTTATTACTATAAAATATCTTTGTATATTCTAAGAAATATTATTGTTATTATTAACAAAGAGTTGAATGAGGGTATTAATCTCCTCCAGAATATGAATCGAAAGCCTATACGTACATATATTATTATTCATTATTAATGCGTCATGACATGATTAAATGTTAAACAAAAGTATACTCTACTATTTTATCTACGGAACCTCCGCTTCCCTTCAAGTATATAACAGGTTATGGCCTTACATTTAATTTATTTATTCCATGATTGGTCAACTAATATCGTTCAGTTTGTCACCAGTGGACTTTTGTTTTTGTGGGCATATGCAAACAAATCGTTAAGTGGCAGAATTTGTATCGACAAACTTTAAAATGATCCAGTACTGTAACATGTCAAGTAAAAGATATTTAAATGATGTTGTATATCACACCTAATGGAAAGGTCCAAACAATATTCAAAAATAAAACTTTTTTCAAAATCTGAATGACAAGTGTATCTTATTTACTTGTATTTTCGAAACTACAATATGGTTAACCCTGTATATTTTCTTTCAAGTATTTTTAATTTAGAAAATAAGAATTAAACTTTTTTGCAAAAATGTCACTTGTTTTGTTTAAACTTTCTTACTATGTATATATAATATTTATTCAACATTTAATTTTTTTTTTTATGAAATTATTTTTTGTCTAAAGGTTGATACCTGGTCCTTTCAAAATATATTGAATACTTCTCCGGTCAACAGTTTGTTTTGGATTGAGAGACACTAATCTAAACCCGTGATCAGAATGGGAAATAAATCTTTTCGAGAGGAAGTGCAGTTGTCAGGAAGTCCCTATTGTATTAGCATTAGTCCTCTCAACTTAACATAGAACAGTGTTTTTGAATCAAGAACGTAAGCCCAGAAAATATTCAATGTGGTTTACAGGAATCAATAATAAACACATTGAATATAATCAATAAAATTCAGTATCAATATCTTCCCAAAAAATAATATTTCTAAAAGCAATAATACAATATCTTATGAATCGATGGGCTGGAAATTGAGAAACTCTGATTTAGGCTATACGGTCAGTTGAATGATGTCAACAGTTTGATAGAGTCAATTAAGTAAATAATTGAAGCCATACAATTAATTAATTGTAATATCTTTATATCTAATCTAAACCATTTTCATTGTTTTATTGTTAATTAAGTTAGATGACAACGTAAATATCTGTAATTTTTTTAAATAAATTGGCTTAAGTTCAATATATGTTATTTTGTCAAATCAATTAGTAGTATCTAAAAAACTATAAAATTTTTGATTGTCAGAAATAAGTGTTATTGTAGGTATATACATATATATTTATTTATGAAGTACTGTCTTTTTAAGCCATAATTTTAAGAAATTATTAATAATATTTAAATGTAATAAATTTAATAAAAATTCATTTTACCAGACAGACATAATGAATTTAAGTTTATTATAGTTCACTGATTTATATCTCCTGACAGGTTATTCATTTATCAAAAGTTTTTAAGCATTTAAGTACGACAATACAATGATTAGATCACTGGTATGTAATTAACACATAATTGATATATATTCTAAGTTTAGCTTCGTAGGTACGCCGATAAAAAATATACAAAAAAATTTAAACAACAAATTGTTTATATATTAGTTTACATATAAATATATATATAATAAACAATATATTTTTATTTACTTTTTTTAAAAAAAATTATAGAGGTATGAGAAGAAGAATTTAATTAGGTTAGATTCTCTCATTTGCTGAATAAAAAAGAAAAATATTTTTAATTAGAAAATTAATTTCTTAAATAAATTCAAATGGCGTGCTGCTTCAAATTATTTGAAAATATTCTTAACTATTGAAATATAATTTTTTTAATACATATATCCGTAAGTACAAGTTGTAATTTATAATTTTAGTGTTTAACTTCAATTATTTTTTGTATTGTGCAAGTCACATGATACTTTAAGAAACGACAGTGTATAATGATGACAGCGTATTAAGTCTATAAAATTTTTCAAATTTAACTGAAAATATTTAATATTATTATAGGCACTGAACGCGACTTACTTTTTGCGAATAGAAATTGTATGGATGAAAGTAAAGCACCAATGCACCATCCTTAAAAACAGGCGCTTTAAAATCCGGTAATGGTTCAGGTGTGTGGGGAGGAGTAGTCGTTATTGTACTTTTTAAATTATTCATTTCGTAATTACAACTGCTTTTTTCCCCTTTTTATTTAAATAATTTTTATTATTGTTATAATTGTGCAACAAACAAAAAAAAAACTTTAATCTGATGAGATTTACGCTTCTGTAAATTTAGTAATTCTCATTAAAATTTTATCACATGCTAAGCGATTTTTTTATCTTTTGAATACAACGGATCGGCGTTTCGGTAACAGAACGATTCCAAACAAAATACTTAATCAGACTAACTCAACTAAATTGTGCTGTCGACTGTAAACCACTAAAATGCTCAGTTTATACTAATTTACACACTTAACCATGTTAGCAAGCAGTTTTTTTTTTCACAAATATACTCGCTCACTAGGCAAACAGTGTGAAAATAAAATTATTATTAAAATTTGTTATTATATTTAAATGAACACAGTAAACAATAAATATAGATGTAGGAATTATAGTAAACATTTTGCATTAAACTTAAATATTTTCTTATCACAATAAAAAATAAAAAAATTCAATCGAATCTAGGTAAAATTTCTTATTTCTAATATACTTTCATGGATACCCCTATTTCAATTCCTGTCCCTGTCAGCTACCTTTGTAGGTTGAATGGTCATAACATTTTTTGTCGCCTCAGCATCCAGTTCGAGTGCTACACGGCCAATATATTCCAAATGTAGAACTTAATACACAGAAGCAAATCAGAGGTATCTAGGTTAATATCTGTCTTTACAGGGCACTGGACCATAGGACGACATGGAGCTAGATTTAGCCTGTAGTATCTTCAGCTCTCAAAGAAAGGAGACCAGAACATCTGATGTGTCTATGTCCAAGTTTGGTCAGAACTAGGCTTAATATTCTGGGGGCCCCTTTTTTAAACACACTCGACGTTATCTCCAGCATTAGCATTGGCCCGATTCTTGCCTTTATAAATGCCTCTGGCTAGTTTTAGCTTGACCTACTCTCTACTTACCACTATTACGAGGTTTTGTGGATTCAAAACAGCTTTTTAAGCTAATTGAGGAGGACTCGTTCCTCCCTCCACCACAACTAGCTATACTTTGAAGAAAATAGAGACCGTGAGCATAGAATTAAAAGTTAACTGTTTTATGTGTTTTCGGTAGAGCAGAGCTCTTCGACCACTCTAAATCCTGTGTGCCTAAATGTAGCCAAACAGAACATATTCAGCCTTTCGTACATATCAAAATTTCTTTGTTGAAGATTGTTTAATGTCAAACGTGCATAGGACCTTCCGGTTTAATACTTATTTCCTAGATTAAAGTTGAACAGTCATTCTAAATAGAAGCTCCAACTGCTTCAAACCCTTATTCTGTCATCCCAAATCAATTTTATTAAAAAGATGTAGATTAAGATGACACACATGTTATATTTTGATTCCATATATTCATACTAAGCTTGTTTGCACTCCTATCCGCCACCCCTTTATTGGAATGTGATAGCGGATGGGAGAGTCATTCTTAAGAGGTGGTTTTAGTAGGTTCAAGTTTCATACTGTGGCTATTCATATTATTAGAAAAACTTATAAACTTATAATTAGTGTTAGGAATAGTTATTCGATAACTAATAAACTGTATATAAGAAATTGGAAAACAAAAGCTTAAACCAGAGAAAAATGAAAGGATGTTGTTAAACAGGCTTAGGTCGTACATAGACTGTATAGTTACGGATGATGAATAAATTGGTATAATTAGTAAATTGTATATAGATGTGAATATCACATTTATGTTAAATTGGTCGTAAAATAAATTTTACAGTTAGCTATAAAATCTAACTAATAATTTTAGTCGACTATAAATAACTGCTGTCAGTACGGACACTACAATAGACTCTGGTTGCTAGTCTATTGAGGTTGTTTGATAAAAAAAGTTTAAGTATTTGAAATCAAAAATTTTGACTTCAATTCTCTAAGTAGAAAACTACGTCACTCCTAAAATATTATGCATTTATTTACTCAGATTTTATTGTACCTAATAACTAGTTTTTTTTTTTAAGAAATTTATTGCAATGTGAGGAGGGTCAAATATTTATTATATTTTATGATGCAAGTAGAAGTTGATATAAAATTTATATAACTATAACTATTATTAACTATTAAATCTAAAAACAAGTAATAAATTTAATAGTTTCAAAATAAATCAGTATTGACATACATTGATTAGTGTCTACACTTATAGGATTTTGACAAGATTTTTATATTCAAATGTAATAATCTTTCATAATAATAATAAATATTATTATTATCAAGTTAAGTCTACAGACAAAAAATTTGTATATTTCAATAAGAAAGTCAGTGTACAAGTATCTTGTAAAATTTAGTGAGTATAGATGCAGGATAAGTTCTCTTCCTGTTATTCGATTCACCTCACCTTACACTGAAAACATACGCCAATAATATACCATCTGCTGATAATAATAAAATCATTCTCTAAGGTGAGACATATAATATTTCAAATAAAGTTAACTTTAGCATATAAGTAGAACATAATATTTTTCCTGGAATTCGGATTAAAATATTTTTACAGGTTGCTTCAAAATTGGGGTTAAATGCGGCGATATTTCGGAGAAAGCTAACCTATCGGGGCCAACATAATCAAAATTGCTCAACTTTCAAATTAAAACGATTTTAGGATTGTATGCCATTGAATTAAATTAAAACCGTAGAATCATTACATAAATGACTAAAATTAAAACTAGCTGTTAGGTCCAATTAACCACTAACACATTATGAGCAGAGTACATGCCATCATTATGCACCAATGAAACTCATCTTAAGCATATAAGCAGATTTAGGAGAGCCAATATATTCCAATATTTTACCCCACATAATATCCATATATTATTAAATTATTAATGTAAATGTTACTTATTGGATAAATTTTGTATGTATATGAATCTAGGATTCCTTCTTTTATCAATTCTTCAATATTTTCTTTATGACAAGTATGACCTACAATTTATACTAATAAATTTTTTTAAATTAAATATTATGTAAAAAAAAATAAACGAATACAGTGTGATATGAGTAATTATTAAAATCTAGTAATTTACTATGTGTTATCAACTAAAATTACTTACAACAAAATATTTTAATATTTGATTAATAATATGGGAGTTCCCTTTGTTATATGCAGTGCCATAAAAATTAATATGTATTAATCGGTTCAGTAGTTCACTCTTATAGTATGTTTCCACTGGCTTCGTTAGACCAATTAACTCACTTGAGATTGCTTGATTTACTTAAATCTTAAGTAAGTTAACAGGTCTAATGAAGCTAGTGCATACGTACTATTATAGGAATCAAACAGTCAGCTAATAATAATCAGTTTCATGCTTAATAGATGTAAACTTATTAAGCTAATATAAGTAAATTTATTCGTCTCTTAAAAAAATCATGCCAAACAGACTCATGATATATGGAAATATATAGAAAATATAAAAAAAATTTAAATTTAAAGTTTTTAATAAATTAACCATTGTTGTTCTTTATCCAATAATGCACACAAAAATAAATTCTTATCTGTTTTTATTTTGAAGACATTAACTTTTCAGGCTGTTATCATATATGTCAGACGTTAGCATATTTTAACAATTTTTTATATGTACAGCCATAAGTTCTGAGTAAATAAAAGAATAATTTTTTAAAAGAAAAATTAGGTTACAAAAAAGTATACAATACTTTTTAAAAAAATTCTACTTCAATTTTTTTAAAAACACATTAACATAATTTTCTATATAATATCAACACTTCTTTTCGGGATTGTATTACCCATTTTGATTTTCAACAAAGGCGAAGCTCTGACCAGCGTGAAGTGAGTTATACTTACTGTTCTAAATTTTGGGCCTGATAAAAAAACAAAAAATATCGTATATCACAAGGTTCTTTATTGAAGAGAATCAATCGGAGTGCAACCCATAGGTTCTTGCTGACAGACCATTTAAAATAATTAATTATATATCAATATCCTAATAAACTATTGAATACAATAAATTTTTTGTATTCATTTTATTACGTTAATAAATTTCTAAATTTAGTTTACCTATAATTTAATATAACATTTATTGACTGTTACGCGGTACGAAGTTCGCGGGGTCACCTAGTTTTCTATTAAAAATAAAGAATATATTTGCATATTTGTCGAATTAAGTACAATAGTCTTAACATAACATAAAAAATAAATTTATTTAAAATAAATATTTAATAATTATATTTTAAATAAAATTTCATAGAAACCCTGTGTGTGTGTAATATTCTCTTTAATATATTCTCTCTTAAAAAGCGCTGGAAGTTTATTTATACTTTTTATTACAACTGTTTGAAAATACTGCTTATGTTTTTTATTTATTGGACGAAAGAATATCTCTTTAATAATAACACAAATTGATTAGATTTTAAGACGATTACACGAACTTCACACAGAATTTGTGATTAGTGAAATAAAATGTTTCAAGTAATTCAAAATCTGCCAACGAGAATAGCTAGTGGAAAGTTCAAAGTTCTAACATCATCTGTTCCAGTGGCTAATCAATTCAACAGCACTGCAACGTGTAGTATCAGCATTAATAATTGTGCTAAGCGTTTGTCCAGTCAGAGTTCAACATCGGGAAATATGAAACGTTTTCAAGGGAAAGTCGCTATTGTTACAGCTTCAACGGACGGGTAAATCGGGCCTAGTACTTCTTTATCATTTACTAACACTGTGTTTCTATCTTCATAGCATTGGATTTGCTATCGCAAAGCGATTGGCCGAAGATGGAGCTAATGTAGTTATCAGCAGCCGCAAGGAGAAAAATGTAGCCAACGCAGTAGAAAAATTACGTAAACTTAATCTAAACGTTATGGGATTGAAGTGTCACGTGGCTGAGGCAAGTGATCGTAAACAACTATTTGAAGAAACTATGCGCAAATATGGTAAACTCAATATTTTGGTATCGAACGCAGCAGCAAATCCAGCTGTAGGTCCTGTATTGGATTGTGAAGAAAATGTTTGGGATAAAATATTCGATATAAACGTTAAGTCATCATATCTTCTGGCAAAAGAGGCGCTGCCATATTTGCGAAAGGAAAAGGGTTCAAGTATTGTATTTGTCTCATCCATAGCTGGCTATGATGCTTTCGAGGTAAATTTTATTTTGTGTTTCAAAGTTATGATTTCAAAATTATTAAATATATATAATTAGCTCAACTACATATTAATATATCTAATTATTATTATTATCTCAGAGATACTCTTGAACTGCCATAATTCGAGTTAAAGAATTTTTTTGTAATTGTATGCATTTTGCTCTTTAAACTCTGTTGCACTATATTTAGTTCGAGTTAAGGTCATTTCTGATATAAGTTATAAATCAAATTTTATTTCAAGATTAAGAATTTTACCATTTATTTGCTTTTAAGCTTCTTGGTGCATATTCTGTGAGTAAAACTGCTCTAATTGGTCTTACAAAAGCAGCATCAAAGGATTTAGCTCCAGAAGGAATACGAGTAAATTGTTTGGCACCTGGTATTATCAAAACTAAGTTTTCACAGGCGGTAAGAATAAGTAAAATTATAATGAAACTACTTAAATTAAATATTAATATCTTGCAGCTGCATGAAGAGGAGTCGGCAAATGAAGCAGCGCTTGCAAGAATACCAATGCGTCGTTTGGGTATGCCAGATGAAATGGCAGGAATTGTTGCTTTTTTGGTGTCTGATGATGCTAGTTACATTACAGGCGAATCTATTGTAGCATCCGGAGGTATGACAGCACGACTTTAATTTTGTTGCTAAAATTATTAAAGTGATATTAAATATATAACTAAAAAAATTTGTGTATAAAGCATGTTATTATTGTTTATTAAATTTACAAATTTGTTTTTACAATTGATTTATTTCATTTGTTAAAGATTTTATCTTTAATAAAAATACAATAAAATCTTCTTATATTTGCAATTTATAAATACTTTAGGATGAACGCAATTTTGCTAACTGAGCTGCAATATCTTTTTCTGTGCGCACATCACTGCGATCTAAATCTCCAGTACCAGTTGAGGGAATGTTTGCCATTTTACCTGAAATTTCAATGCCAATCTCATCGAGCACCTTGTTAACCACATCATTTGTTTCTTCTTCGTCACCAGATTCAGTGAGCATATCATCCAGGGTATCATTAATCATTTCATCTGTCATTTCCATCTTCATATTAGCTTGTTGGAACTCACGTACATTCGCTGATATAGCTTCGGGTCGCATTATTTTGTTCATATCAGCCATAGTTTTTGCTGTAGTACCCATGGCATTGCTTAGTGCGATATTAGTACCAATGGTCTTATTTTGATATCCTATTGAAGTTATCTTGCTATTTGCTGCATATGTTCGAGCCTTTTGTTTACGTATTTCCACTAATTGTTTAGCTAGGATACGACACACATCTTTGTTCCCTGAAGCCGCATTCTTTTTTATTTCTTGTTCAAGTTTCTTCTCTTCCTCCTCTAATTTACGACGTTCACGTTCAATGTCTCGAGTTGCTTTGCGTAAATTTTTATCATTTTCACGTTGTTGTTCCTTAACAGTTGGTTTTTTACCAAAAAAATTATTAAACATTATTTTTGAAATTATTATATTAAAATAAAAATTATAAAAACTGCGTTGCTTCTGTGAAAATTTCTTCTGAGATTAAGCAATGATGATTCAGTTTTATCAAACTATAACAATGACGACATTAAAA